AAAAAAAAAAAGTTAGGGCCTCCTAATCAAGGATATTTTCATAGAATGCACTCAACCAAATGTGTGACCTATATTTTTTTTACTTTAGCCTTTATTTTAAAAAGTAGTCAATATTGTGAAAACGATAAATCAAAGATAAAAATGTCCTTCCCAAACACTATTATGCAATTTTTCCTGATAAAAGTGTCAATTAAGTCAAAACCTAAAAATTCTTTTGGATTGTGGTGTCTGGTTCCAGAAATTACAAGTTTGTAAGTAGGAAAAATTTTAACTTTTCTTTAATTTTAGGTCTGCAGACCAAATGCCATCGAAGGGCCTGAAAGAAAGAAACCGAAAGTAGTGCCACAGAAATTTCAACACGATTGGTTAAGAGATTATTCTTGGCTCCGCTATGATAATGAGGCAGATGCTTTATAAAAAAATCATTTGCAACTGTATATACATACAGCCTATGTAAAGTTACTTTCAAAGTTGAATCAGTTCAGTTTGTGAACTTTAATAAAATACCAGTACAGACTAGCAGTGTATGTTTTTACGTAAAATATCATTTTTCCTGATCTCCCACTATTTCTCAAAATCTCCCCAACTTTTAAGCTCAGAGGGGAGAATTCTCCCCCCTTTTTTGAGACCTTGGCAGAACCCTGTATGGTTTGGCAGTTATGGGGCAAACATTACTGAAATTCTGCAAAAAAATAAAAAATAAAATAAAATAAAATAAAATAAAATAAAAAAAAAAAACATAAATGTAAACTGATCATGTGAATTTTCGAAAGCAACCTGCTTCTTAATCAAACAAAGTCACTCAGTAAATTTAAAGTAAAACAAAAATACGGTTTGGGGCAAACGACATGTGCCAGACATTGATGGCAACAGCCACAGCAACGGCAACGACACAGACAGACAGACCAATCAGAATATATACACTGTGTCTGTACATATATAAAAAAATAACATGGAGGATTTACGAGATGGGAAATACCTTGCAAACATGCCTAACCACCAAATCGTCGTTTTAAAGAAGCCGTCAGATTTTCGTTGGGATTCCAAAACCAGGGTAGTTTTTTTTTAATAAATGAGCCCATACCGATAGTACTGAAAATCGATACAACATACGAAATAACACATTTCATTACTTACCTACCTGGCAAGTTATTAAAACTAAAACATTTTCAACACATCTATTTAGCGTAATACTGGTATCTTCAACAAACAACTGGGCGTTGATATATTTCTTTTAGAAATAGTGCAATTCCGACGTAGGCTATCGTGTCTTCCTTACTTGCAATGATACTCTTTAACTGCCCAGACAGCACTAGAAACTAAAAGTTCAGAAATAAAATTACCTACTTCCGCCATGACAGGTGTTTACACAGGGCCTCATGGGAAAACAACTATTTTACACATTATTTCATTTCTATTGACGATTAAGTTAAAATATTTAAATTCATTAAGCTTTTTACCACAAAAATAATTTCCTTTATAGTGTAATCATCTTTTGACTCCCCTTTCTTTTATGTGATCAATTATACGGAGTAAGTCGATAAACACCGAGGATAGCCGATCTATGCAAACATAGAAACAAGCATCGACTCGGTCAGGCTTAAAAATGTACGAGGAAGAAAAGGACGACAAGATAATCCGTGTGAGCACAGATACAGATGAATTTGTAATGAGAGGAAGACCATGTGAACTGTCAGCTTTTGCATTTGTACCAACGGAGAGAAATGTGCCAAAAGAAAGAACTTATTTCAACAGCGAGAGACAGGTGGGTCTGATGTTGTTTTCATTGGTTACAACATGGCCGCCGTCTGGAAATGCATCAATGTTTAGTCTGGAAACGTTCCGTTGTAACCCTGATCAGTTGATGAATCTACGAAACACATAAAACAATCATTCTAACAGGACACTTTATTACCATATTGAAAGGTTAAAACCAGTGTGGTATTTAATTTAAACTAATAGAATAAAATGGCAAATGACGTATAATGCATATATGCCCAGTATACAGTGGCAGTGTATGGAAATTGATTTTCCGTATATTTCTCATTTCAGGAGAGGTATTCAAGCTCAACATATGATCGCTTATTTAGAAAACCAGAGCTGTACAACATGTACCTTCACAAGGATGACAGAGAACATGCCAAGTCACGAGGACTCACAGTCAACAATGAGGTCAGCTTTCAAGTCTTAAGTTCAGCAGTTAATACTTTGTTCAGTTGTCAGGACCTAACAGATTGTCCTTAACCAAACACCAGTGAAAGTTATGCTTGGCCAGTGATTAAAAAAATGTTTAGTTACCAGCCACTATTTTTGATTAGACACAAATAAAACACAATTGAGAAATCACCCCAAAAGCATTTTATAGTAATAATTTTTCTTTTTGTGCAGGCTTTAGAAAAATGTCTTATCAATTTTTTTTCATCATTTTAGGAAAAAGTGAAAGTTGTCCCTACATTGTCATCTTCAGACTACGGTCATAGGTTAGATAACGAGTACGACCCTCCCGACAGAAAACATGTGAGGATAGGTCATGTGCAGTCAGAGTTCTACAGGAGAAATGATATCAATATAAAAGATGCCAAATACTGAAACATAGGGATTAAATATTGAGGCATCAAACTTCTGCAATTGAAGAACAGTGCATCAGTAGTCACAATAATGTGCACATGACCAGATCTTAATTTTCAAAGATTTCTGCATTGTATTTCATCATTTTACCATCTTCCATCTCATATTTCATCTCTCAAATGAATGACTGACAATGGCACACAATGTGATTAGCCCAAAGAGTTACTTACCATTATCTCCCAAACAGTAAGCAGATGATGTGCTATGTAGTCGACATGGAATAGCCATTTACATGAGGCATTTTTGTTTGAAAAAGAAGGGAACACCCATGCCTTGTAGCTGTGGTACCAGACTGACTACTACAAGATAAGGTGCCCAAGTGCGCCGTGTTGAGGATCGACCAGAAATTATAACTGTGACAGTTGCCTCAGAAAGGCTAACAGATCAGCCAACTAGAGTGCCTTCATGAAGTGAAAATTGGTTGGCCTATATGTTTTTCTTTTAGGCCTTATTCCCAAAGGGACTATCTGTCTACGTGGATGGACCCAACTCTGTGGGGACTCTTGCTGAATGCAGTCAGTTTAGCATATGAAAGTGTTTCCACCTTGCCTTAGTAGAATACAGAAAAGGTGGTGATTACAAAAGGAAACGAGACCTGTCATTCAGTTAAGCTGATTGCAATCAGCAAGAGTGCCAACAGAGTTGAGTCAACCAAGGTTGACTTATGGTATCTGTGGGAATGGGATCTTAGTGAAACATGGTTCCAGAGCTTGAAACAAAGAACAGTCTTTGTACCAATTGACAATTGTATCTGCATAATACAGTCATTACACCAACTTGATTTAGGAAGATTAAAACTTTTCACTCCCATTTTAATGGCAGGTCTTGACGTTTTAAATATGTAATGACAGTTATGGATTTCCTCTTGTTCATTGTAAAAGTTTATTGTACTCAAATACTTCAGAACCATTGTACAGAATTGTAGTTAGAATTTTGTGGTGAGGTATTTTCCTGCTGCAAATAAAGAACTGTTCATTTCCAGTCAAATTAGTTTTACCAGTCTGCACTGATAAAGGTGTGTGCACACATGACATCAGTAGCACTTGCTAGAGTTGAATTCAATTTTAATGCACAAACTGAAGTTGTTTCAATTATTACACAATTAACACATATCACAATCTTATCAACACATTTTCCAAGTCTGAAAAAAACTCGATATTGACTGATGCCCAATACATCTGAAAGAAGTGGTTTTAAACTTTGCTTTCGGCAGAAATTGCAAAATTGGAACTCCTAGGGCGTATTCCCAGTCATTTAGATCGATCTATCCCCATGGGGAGTCTCATTAGATTACTGTCAGATAATCCGGCTTAAATGTCCGTCCCGCCTACTACAAGCTTTAAGGGGGAAATTAACTTTCGTGCCCGCTCGGCTGACAGCTATTTAGTGTGAACCCCTAGGGAGTTAAGTCGATCTAGTTTGGATCGATCTAATCTCTGGGAATGGGGTCCTACACAACAACAAAAATTGTAACACGAATCAAAATGTATGCAACTTTTTATTATAAATATTGAATTCAATCTGATAATACATTCTTCAAAAGGTACACCTGTCACACAACAACAGCAACTGCTATCTTAATTATAGTTAAAGCACCTTACAGATCAGAAACAATCATTACATTTACATTGCACTTTAATCATGAACTACTACAACCTGATTCTAACAAAGACCAGACGAGAAAAGACATTAGTCCAAACTGCCTGCTTTTTTCACTGTTACTAAAGATTTCATAAATTAACCAGTATCTTAACTCGAGTTAAAAATAGATCCAGCCTCCTCTCCGGTACACAAAAACATGGATATCCTCCAAAGGGAGAAAATTCTGTAAGAGAACAATACACTGTAACTTAGCTAAACAATAACCATCTACTGTGAATAACGCTGTCAGACCTGACAACAACAAATTCATAAATTTGCCAATAGCAGTGCTGAACTTTTACCAAACTTCATCTAAACTCCTTAGTTCAAAAATAATTCTGAATACAATATACCTCCTTTGTATATATTCAGCACAGACTTTAAACAAACTTAGTCTGAGCATACATATCTCACTGTCTGTTCCTTAAACATTTGTCAGAACACCATTTTGGGGGGGGGGGACAGGGGAGTTTCGGGTAGGATAGTACACTGGTAACAAGAATTTCTCCATACAGTGCAGGCACTTTCATTATTAAAAAAAAAAAAAACATTCTGTATGCGTATATAGACTCCTGACACAGGTGTCAACTGGCCTTCTTCATTTTCAATTAATAATCATAATTGAGAAACATTTGTACACATTAATATGTTACAGTGATGCGTTTTCTATGGATTTTACTTTCTTCAGATTTTCCACAGATGAATATGTAGAATACTTGCTCACTACCGAGGTCCAAGTACAAAGACCAATGGACACTCAAGTTGAAAACTATTTATTTTTTCTTGACATTGTTTATGAACCTACTACAATATTTATGCGGTCTTTAAAAATGTGCTGAAGTTTTAAAGTTTAGGGAAATTTTCTTTAAAATCCCAAAAGCTAAATTATTCTTTGGAATCAATAAGAAAACTGAAGTAAAATGGACAAGGCGATTTTCCATCATTTCCAATCTAACGCAATTCTTTATAATTATTTGTTTGGCAGAACACTTTCCTACAATAATGCTGCTAGTCTTATAACATTTGTGAAAGTTAACATTCTCTCACATTTATATGTTAAACTTTTTTTTTACGAGCAAGTTTTCTCATGGCAGACTTTTAATCAAATGACAATTTCTTAGATGGTAATAATATACAATCTCCAATAAATACAATAAACTGCATTTTATGCTCCATCTATGTAAATAATTTTATTCCACAACTACAACATCATCTTCAAGAGCAACATCATTCCTGGGGATACTGCCGTTGTCCTTAACAACAGCGTTACCCACATCAATCTCCTTAGAAAGTCCACTAATTCCATACTTCTCCAGAACCCTACGTGATAACCTCTCTATTTTGACATGACACTTCTTTGTGTGCCCCATGAGGTGGATTCTGTACGCCTTCCCCTCATAGCACCGACCACATAAGTTACACCGCACCTTTTCGTGCAGGTCCAACATATGCTGTCTGAGGGCCGTAGTGGACAGTGCCCCAAAGCCACACTTGTTACACATGAAAAGCTTCTCCTTGTGGGCCAAGAACAAATGGTAGCCCAGCTCATCCAGAGAGTTGAACTTCACTGAGCAGTGGCGGCATCCTAACCCACCGTGTTTCTCTCCGAAATGATGGTAGTACTCCTGCACATTGGCAAAATTGCTAATACCACAGGTTTTGCACTCATAGGGAGTATTCTGCGTCATGACACGAGGACTGGTCGTGGGTTTCCCTTTTGGGACAGCCTTCTTCCTGGATGCTGGAAGAGTGGCGAACGCGGGAGTTTTCTCGATTCTATCTCTGGCCACAGCAGCTGTTCTGACCTCTGCAACCATTTTCATTGGCTGTAAACTCAGTCCGTGGTACTTCGCCATGTGAGATTCAAGGTCTTTTTCACACGTGAATGTCTTACCGCAGCTCACACAGCGGTTGATTTCCACCAGGTTTAAGAAGTTCAGGCCGTGGGCAGTTTCCAGGTGAGTGACTAACTGTTGAAAGCTCCTCTTGCAAATGAAACACTCGTTCTGGAAGTGAGTTTTGGAGTGGCGGTTCCAGCCCTGTGATGTCCAAAATGTTGCCATACACACAGCACAGGTCAGCGGAGGACTCTTGTACTTCTGGAAAATATCCGGTGACATGTTGATCTGGTGAGCGTAATAAAAGTGAACTCGCAATGCATCTCGATTCATGACAAAGCCGTCACAAAGTTCACAGACCTCGTAATCTTTCTTGGAAACCTTTGGAGCAGTTGGCCCATTGACATCCACTGAAGATCCAGACCGTTTCAAAATCTGCGAAATGGCAGATAATCCTGGTGACAACTTTGGTCCATCAGGCTGAGCAGCATACATTTGAACAGGAGTAGGTGGCGCTGTTGTCTGTTTGGGATGTCCCACAATGGCAGAAATTGGGCGCGAGGATTGGATGGCTTGGGTTGCAGCATGCATAGGAACCAGCCCCACGCTGGTCCACACGTAGATCTGGCCATTGAGATTGAAGGTCTGCATTCCCGCTAAATGTTGACTAGGAGAGAGTCCTGGTTGGGGCCCTGGTGTCCTGTTCTGTTGCGCAGCGTTAGGTTTGTTTCCAGGGAGAAGGGACACTGGTGGGGCAGGTTTGGGTTTTGGTGGCGGGGGCCTCTTTACCTCCACACTCAGAGAGTGGTGCAGAAAATTGTTGGTGGGAGCCAGGTTTTTGGCAATGTCGAACCGTCTCCTGCAGCCTATCTCGTGCTGCATTAAGCGGTTCTTGTGATTTTGTTCATAGAAGCATAGCGTGCATTGATGAAAAAGAGGTCTTGGGACGAAGCGCGCATTTTTATTGTGATTTCCTTTCATGTGATAGGTGAAAGCTATGGGCTGGCGGCTGTGGAAGTCACAGAAGGAACAAGTCATCTTATCTGCCTCCATGTGGGGATACTCCATGTGATGTTCTAGAACATTCTGGGATTCTGTTTTGAAGTTACACTTGGAGCATTTCAAATTTTTATGGTGCAGGGATTCATTTTTTTCCAGCAAAACTGAGTGTTCCTTTTTCATCTTCTCAAGTTCCTCTTGTTCCTTTTCCTCCAATTTGTCCTCTTTCAGGCGTTTCGTCTGCACACGAGCGAGACTTTTATAAGTCTTTTCCTTCACTAGATCAAGACCAATGTTGAACAGAAATGCACCAACTAGCCCTACCATGCTCTTGGGTGCCTCCCCATAGAAGTCCGGCTCCTTTACAGCTGGGGTCTGTTTCTGCTGAGAAGTGTTGAAGGATGCCACTGGGGGCGCTGCACCTGCGCTGGTGAGAGCCTTTAAAAGGGGTCCTGCAGATTTTGATGTCACACTGGTGGGCGTGGGCGATCCATTAGCTCTTGGGGCACTGGCTTGACTAGCACCTGGGGACCCACCACTAGAGGGAGATACTGATGATGGAGTGTGGATCTTTGGCGCAGAGGGGCTTTCCTGTTAAAGAAAAAAATGTGGATGCATAATGTTATGTAGACTGTAAATATTAACTAAGACTAAACGAGCAGTTTAACTGAAACTGGTAAAGGTGTCTTTACACACCTCCCCCCCCCCAACGCGCGCGTGCGCACACACACACACACACACCAAAAAAAAAAAAAAAAAACTCCGACAAATTGTTAGAAATNTTTCCTTAAAATGTGTTTACAGGGTTGCATATATGCTGAAAAGTGAAAAAACAGCATAACTTCTACAATAATGGCCCGATTATGCTGATTTTCGAACTTGACCTGCGTTTTATGAATATTCATCAGCTCTGTAAATATAAAGCCAAAAAGTAAAACTGCCCTCCACTTATCGTGTTTACAAGGAAAGTGCACGGCGGCGACGGCGACGGCGACGCCGGCGACGATAGACGCAGGTGATGGCAATATGTACAGACACATCTGTGTCTGTACATAAAAACTAGAAAGACAGGGCTCAGGGACCATATGGCAGGGGCTCTAGGAAAAACACCAGGAAACATCTAGAGATCTAAATAAAATTGGAATATTTATACTCTAGACTTTTACCCGAGATAATTTTTCACATTCTTCACCGAAGTCAACAATTCTAAATCCAGTCTTTCATTGCCAAGAGGAGCCTAATCTACCCACCTGTGCTGCCATCTGTCCCACCGTCTCCTCCACCAGGTCCTGTAGAGTAGAGCCATCTAAAAATACACAAATCATCATTAAGACACGATTTATGTTTTCACTGACATGCCCACCATATCATACAAAGGATTTAAAACTTTATTGCTTTAAATGAATGCCATGCAAATGTTTTATGTTTATCAAGATGCAAAATTAATTGTATTCTTTTGTGGAAAATATCAATCTAAAGTTTCAAAATTCATTCATATACATATATATAAAAAATTTGTGACCTTTTACTTTAAAATATCCCGTAATTAAATCAACTTTATCAAAATAAAAAAAAAATCCAGATGCCCAACCAAATTACAGCATACTCCAGGACAGAAACATTAATTAGTAAGCCAATGGAAAAACAGCCTTAGCAGCCACGTGGAAATAATGAAAAAATGATATAATGCCTACTTTTTTCCTTTTCACCATTTGTACTTTTGGTGGGTTCTCCAGTTTCCATTTCTGTCTCACTGTCATCAGTGTCTGAGTTCTGGACAATGATGAATTCATCTGTGCTCTCAACAATCTTCCCCGAAACAGAGCTGAAGTCTTGTTTTTTCCCTTCAGGGGCAGATTTGCTTTCATGCAACTGAGTAGGGGAGTCAATTTCCATTTCTTCAACTTCTTTTACAGGACTTGTTCTGGCTTCCTGGTTTTCTACTTCTGTCCCTTGATTAAGTTTCATCTCTCCACCTTCTTTCCTTTTACTGGCTGTTTTTATTTCAGCACCACAAGGATCACTTTTCTGAACCACATCACTGGCATCAGAGCCATTCAGCTCATTTTCAAGTTCTTCAGATTTCCCATCACCAAGTGTACTTTCATCTTGAGCAACTACATTGTCATTGAGATTGCTGAATTGAGCACTAATACCGTCTGGACTGGACACATTCTCAGAACTTTTCTTGGTTTGCTGAGGACCTGATATGTCAGTGGAAGAGGGACAGTCAGATTGGCCATTGTTGACTGGTATAGAAATTTGACCATTGTTGACTGGTATAACAGCAACAGTTTGGCTATTGATGTCTGGTGTAGCAGTTTTGCTATTGTTATCTGGTATAACAGTTTGGCCATTATTGCCTGGTATAACAGTTAGGCCATTGCTAGCTGGTAAAGCAGCTTGGTCATTGTTTTCTGGTATAACTGTTTGGTCACTGTTGACTGGTACAAACTGGTTAGTTTCCATAGGTTCATCTGTCACTTCTGCTTCTCCATTTACATCCTCCACCACCGTGTGAGAATTAGTAGAACCATTCATTTCTATACCCTTCTGCAAATATATGAAATGATTCTTAATACAACAACAACAAAATCCCCAGCACTGGTCTTTGTACTGCACAGTGGATGTGGAATAATTTTTTTTTGGTTTTGAATACTTAATTGCTATACAAGAAATGACTCAAACTAGAACACAAGTGCAGTTAACACATCAATATTTCAGTTTCATTCATCAACATTGTTTTGGGTGGCAGAAATGTCCTTTTTCAGTATTCAACAGCAGTATCTTATAATTTACCAATAAAACAAAAATTGGGCTTTTTGAAATACAAATACCTCTGTGGATGTCTGCTTAACTTGTATCTCTGGCACCTCACAATTTTCAGCATTTTTTTCCTCTGCAGATCCATTGACATGAGCGCCATCTAGTTTTGTGCAGCTCTCTAGATCCTGGAGGTAACAATCACCCATGTTATAATTAGCAAAAACCAGTGAAATAAAAACAAATACAACTCTAATAAAATATCAGTTCTATAACCAATTGTATGCTCTGTCGTCATTTTCAGAAACTCAAATGAATAACTGTGCTATTGCCCTTGCCATAAGTCAGTTGACACACCATACACACCTATCTCATTTGGCAGACTTTAACATACTTTTGCGCTTCAACCTCGATGAGGACATAATTTGGGGTTTGTTAAGTTGTAAGAAATGGCTCAGTGCCTTACAAGCAGGGATCTTGAGGTGGCTTATAATATAGCAGAAAACCACCCAAAGAAACAGATCTCCTATTTAAATACATAATATAAAAGGGAAAAAATCTGTTACCTGTTCCTCACTGCCACTGGTGCCCCATGTTGTTGTTACACTTTCACCATCACCTGGTCTCATCATCATGCTTTACACCTGAAACAAGAAGATATATTTACTTTTAGGAAGTCAAGAAAATTAAAATATCAAGCAACAACAAGCAAGTCAAGCTTTAAACTAGAAATCAAACTGTTTTTACCCTGAGTGTCAGAGCACAGTAAAAGCTACTTGTTAAATATTAAATATATCTTGTGATGGAGTCGCTTTTACTAGTATTGCTGATATGGCTTATATATGAAATCAAGATCGAGCTGGCAATACTGGAATCTAGAACCTAGGGTAGCTGTTTTGAGCTTTAAGCAAACTCTAAGGCAATGCCTATTGGTGTTTTTGATATCCTGACCACCATCAGTTACAACACACCTGCCACAGCCTTCATACCACACCAGAATTTATAAAATATAACACTGAGAGAAGAAACCAAAAAACAGTAACTTTATGACTTCACTGGCTGTATAATTCAATGCCGATGGAGCTTAAGATGACTATAATTAATTCCCTAAGGAACCCCATAAGCTTTACCACAAAAATCAATTTTTCAAGTCCACACCTTATACATATCATGATCTGGTAGTCTGTTCTGGCTATCAAGGGGAGACTATAAAGCTGAGTTTTCATAAATGGCCAAATTCTGATTTGACCAACTTGGCAGGACAGGTACTGGTTTTTGAGGATGGCCAACTGGCCAGACACTACTATTAACAATGACTTGGAATATATCAATAATGTCAGATATCAGCAAAAGTCAAAGTAGCAATGACTGACATTTACTATCTCTTTCAGCTATCACATTATAGTAAAATCATTTCACTGACTGCCAACACTGCTTTCTGCGCCCCCCCCCCCTTTCCCTCACATCCCCATTAATTACAGCACTGCAAATAATTAGTATTCGCCGGTTGAGATAACAGCCACGCTTGCAACTAATCGACATTGTCCTGATATGCTAAGAAACATAAATAGGAAAAAAAAAAGCTGAGCAGAATTATTCTTATTCTTCTAACATAAAAATGCAATCGATTCGCGAGCGCCACCTAGGACAGACAGGCCCGACATGAATTTAACCCACTTCCCGCCATTCACAAACACGCATTAGCGATATTATCTACAGGCGTCGCTTTCTTTATTTCTAAGCTTAATTTTTCCGACTGTAAGCATTCAGCGATTACTCATCCTACCTACCGACAGCAGACTAAATTGAAAACCTGCTGCAATCACTTTCCTTGCATGTACCGCACTCTTTGTTTCTCAGGCTTGGTGGAAAAATGGCGATCATGTCACGTGATGAATGACGACACACGGCTGACCCCGAACTTGTAATAACAGGAAGTGAACTTTATTACAAATGAGAACGAGATTTTTCTAGCACAAGATGGCGCATGCGCCTTTTTGAGAGGCACGTGCAGAGTTGTTAAAATTTGACAATTAAAAAAAAAAAAAAACAAAAAAATTATAAAACAGTTAGCTGTTTACGGATATAAAAAAGTAATAGTTAATTGATAGGTCTACTATATTCAGCCTCGGAATGAATTTTTTCTGCAACCATTTTTAGAAAGCAATTTAAACCACGCAAGAAAATGTCTCATAAACGTTTTCTGGTTGTCTTGCGATACTACAATTTTCTCCGCAACTAATTTTTCAAAGTGACGGGACTTATCTGCCCAAATAATTTTCCTGGGGTAAGTTTTCTAACCCAAGAAAAGCAGATTTAAAATTTGCTTTAATTTTTTTTCCTAGTTATTCTGACAAACTACTGTTTTTTTTCTGCATCCTATATTTTAAAATGAACTTACACTTACCACCAAAATGAATTTTATTTGGGTAACAGGCAATTTTCTCCTACTCACGAATCCATTTACAACACAACCCTGCACGTGGATTCGATGTCTTATTCTATTTTAAATTGCACAATTTAGTTATAAATGACTGTCCTTTCGTAAAAAATGCATTAAAAGGGTCAAACTTTTTGAGAAATTTCACCGACAAATTTAAAATGAGTCCGTTTAGGAAGCGCATTTAGTGCTCAGAATGGTTTTTTTGTTGTTAGTTTCTGTCTGCTTTCGAATTGCTTTTGAGAATCTGACAGCTCTTTCAACGGGAGTGTCCGAATGAGCGCAAACATAACAATTACTCGATAGCGACATAACAGTGCTGAAAAATGCACAAATCTATTGTGCCGTTAGTCGAACAATTCATAAACAGTGAAATAACACTTTGTAACAATATGGGGGTCTCTCGTCGAGTACGCTTAACTACGTATGCGTGGCAACTCACCAGGAAACACTTTTGGGGACCCCTTCTCTCTCTCATCATCCCAGGACCCCCCTAAATCCGCCACTGATTATACAATACTCAGGGGCGGATTTAGGGCGTCTTCTGGGTCTTTCGGAAGACGGTCAGATTTTCAAGTTTACATTGACGGGTATCTAATTTTTTCTGTCGGAAGACGGTCAAAAATGGAGGACGGATCAACAAAGATAAATTGGAAGACTGTCAAAACATAACTCTGGATCCGCCCCTGAATTATACGATGTGAAAACATGGGGTTAACAAAATATCAAAATACACTGTATATGGAAAAATGAAACGACTATAGGCATGCTGTGTTAAAACAAATCGGCGTACCGGGTGCTGGACGCCCACTAATTCAAAAGCAGGAAAAATTGTTTCTTCGGGGAAGTTTCTGTTTGGTGAGAAATTCGGAGACGGGGCATTATCCTTAATGGTCGATTGCAAAGGCTTGGAAGGCTTCAGGTTATTAAATAAAGTAGACAAAATAATTATTCATAAATGATGTGGAAAACAGCACAGGGTTCAAAGGTCAGCGCATGTTCCTGTGCAAAGGGAAACGCCTTTGAATGCTGCTATATGCTTGATTGAAAAGACTCAAGTTAGTTCGCTAGAGGAAAAAGTACAATCAAAAACTATAATATGGAGTATTTTTACCTATACTTTGGCTAATATACCTTTGAATTTTAATGAAACTAGACAGCAAACATGACCTATATACAGATAATAAACTACACGGGAATGTACTCCTATCACTCAATCGTATATAGGCTTTGAATTCCCTTTGAATCATTCCCAGAAAGAAAATTCTCTATTCCTCTGATGATTCTCACTTAGTTAAAAGCAAATAATATTATTACTTCACAATCTGGTTGAGGTGAATATTGCATCGTCAGCAACTCAGAGATGCAAACCTCTGGAAATCTAAAATCTAGAGATTCTAAGACTTGAGTTCCCATACCTAGATCAATCTAACAAGATCAATCTGTCTCCAAGGGGTTTCTCACTAAATTGCTTTCAGCTTAAGTGGCTTAGATGTCTGGCACATCTACCAAAGCTGCTAAATGATAATTATTTACCCCTTAGCAGCTTCAGTTGGCGTGACAGACATCTAAGCCGTTTTATTTGACTGCAATTTAGCCAGATTCCCCTTGGAGATAGATTGATCCACAGTTAGTACAACAGGCTCTGGGAATGGTCCTTAAAATTTTGCTCAGTGTGGGGGAGGTCGCTGCTGTTGTGCTCAGTGGGGGGATGGGGGAGCGACCACTCTCTCTCTCCCCCCTCCTCTCCGCTGAGCAAAAGTTTGGAATACATTTACAATCCCCATTATTCAGAAAGGCCTTATTTCCCCCCTGAGCAGTGCAGCTTACTCCCCTTCCTTCCTCTCCCCATCAGCTTTTACAACCATATTTTTTCATTTTCACTGCTGTAAGAATTACATTTCACTCACATATAACTATAACAAATTAATAGAATAAACAATGCTAATATTTATAAAATAGTCATTAAATTAATGATGAAAAAACTGCAGTATGGATTTACATGTATAAAATATCTATATAAAATATCATTAAAAATATCCTGTGCATAAGTATTTATATAAGTGACACACATTCCTCTGCCATTCAGATTGGATTTTAAGTTTTAAGCTGTAAAATTTACAGTTAGGCCAGACAAAGTTGTCAAGTTGATCCACGTGCACTGAATCTCTGCATGGATAGAATAACCAAAACTGCAAAACTGGTTATTTTGTCCATGCTTCCTGCAATAAGTACGGCAAGTGATTTATTGTTGTTTCTGTTTTTAAATACTCACTAAACCTTTGACCAATTCATTTTTAATTTAAAAAATGAAATTATTAAAAAAATATGTAGAAAATTCTGATTTCCTCAGAAACAAAGAAGGTTGTGCTTAGTAAGCACCTTTGTAATTTTGTCTAGCCTGATTACTGGAAATTTTTAAAACTTCACTTTGACTTTTTTCAAAAATTATCATTTACAATTGCAAAAAATTATTTACAGAAGAAAATATTTTAGTGAAAAATTATAAACAAGGCATACAAACTACAGTAAGTGTATGAGATCCATCCCTGTAATAAACTGACAAACCACAAATATCTATTTTGTAATGTCTTTTATCTCTGTTTTAACATTCTAACATTAAAGTACTATCATAACACTAACTCCTACAAATTTTATGTAAATCTTGTCATATACTTGTTATATTACAAGTATTATTACATGGTCATGCTGTCTAAGTCTAGAAATTTAATCATTATACAAATTTATTACAATTTAAAATAAAACAAAGACGAAAATCAGGTTACCAATAAATGAAATCTACTGGCAACATAAGGAAAAACAAGGTAGCAAAACTGTCAAATTGTGCAGACATACTTAATGTTTTGACAAGATGGTGCACAAAAATTTCTTTTCATTAACCATGAATTGATATTACATAATACCACTCACAGAAAAATAATAATACTTATCAAAATAATCCCCGCCAATTTTAATTTCTCACTTCTGTTTATGTGGATATTCATGAAAACTACCACTGTGACAGTGTTTCTGCTCCAGGGGAGTTCAAAATCACAACTCAATAATGTCAATGTCTGAAAAGTCAAAATTTCAAAAATAATAAGAATAGAAAATATAATTATAATAAAAAATAACTTTTTTAAAAAGATATCTAATGAGACTAGTTTACAAACTTAATAAGCTGTTATAGATAATCATTATCAATTTACATATCAATACATATTGAAAAAATATACAGTAGTAAATCTCCCAATGTTACTTTTAAACTTCAAAAGTCTCCAGCTACAAGTTATCAATACAACTTGGAAATTCAGATGCTGATATTATGGAGAGCTACTGGTAGTCAACACTAACACATCTCTTCTACTCTAATAAGGAGCACTTTGCAGGTCTGTCTTAATTTCACATCATTAGTTACTTCTGAATTCTGTTTCAGGAAGTACACATCTTTTGAATTTGCCATTTCAGTTCTATCTTTACCATCTAAATCTACTTTTTCATAGCTTTGGGAACTATCTGAATCACTCCTCGACTTTTCATCCGNAAGGTAGCTGTTTTGAGCTTTAAGCAAACTCTAAGGCAATGCCTATTGGTGTTTTTGATTTCTTGGCCATCATCAGTTATAACACACCTGCCACAGCCTTCATTCCACACCAGAATTCATAAAATATAACACTGACTGAAGAAACCAAAAAACAGTAACTTTATGACTTCACTGGCTGTTTAATTCAATGCCGATGGAGCTTAAGATGACTATAATTAATTCCCTAAGGAACCCCATAAGCTTTACCACGAAAAATCAATTTTTCAAGTCCACACCTTATACATATCATGATCTGGTAGTCTGTTCTGGCTATCAAGGGGAGACTATCAAGTTGAGTTTTCATTAATGGTCAAATTCTGATTTGACCAATTTGGCAGGACAAGCACTGGTCAGTGAGGATGGCCAACTGGTCAGACACTACTATTAAAGGGATAATAACTCTTCGTATGAGATCTATATTTCACAATAAAAACCTTGTGAATAACTCATAGAAATATAATATATTCTGTTTTACCACAAAAACAGCAGTTATAGCTTTCATTCTGATATTTGAACTTGTCTTTAGACCACGTGACCTCCATTGATGCCTATACTCTGTTAAAATCTCTTAAGAGATTTTAACAAAAAACCAAACTTTTTAGAAAAAAACCAGGGACTAACTTTGAATGTAAAAATGGATTCATTAACCATTGGTAAGTATGGGAAAATTATTGTTTACTCCAGGAAAATTCATTTTTTGGCCAAAACGAAGAGTTATTATTGCTTTAACAATGACTTGGAATATGTCAATAATGTCAGATATGAGCAAAAGTCAGAGTAGCAATGACTGACATTTATTATCTCTTTCAGCTATCACATTATAGTAAAATCATTTCACTGACTGCCGACACTGCTTTCTGCGCCCCCCCCCCTTTCCCTCACATCCCCATTAATTACAGCACTGCAAATAATTAGTATTCGCCGGTTGAGATAACAGCCACGCTTGCAACTAATCGACATTGTCCTGATATGCTAAGAAATATAAATAGGAAAAAAAGCTGAGCAGAATTATTCTTCTTATTCTTCTAACATAAAAATGCAATCGATTCGCGAGCGCCACCTAGGACAGACAGGCCCGACATGAATTTAACCCACTTCCCGCCATTCACAAACACGCATTAGCGATATTATCTACAGGCGTCGCTTTCTTTATTTCTAAGCTTAATTTTTCCGACTGTAAGCATTCAGCGATTACTCATCCTACCTACCGACAGCAGACTAACTTGAAAACCTGCTGCAATCACTTTCCTTGCATGTACCGCACTCTTTGTTTCTCAGGCTTGGTGGAAAAATGGCGATCATGTCACGTGATGAATGACGACACACGGCTGACCCCGAACTTGTAATAACAGGAAGTGAACTTTATGACAAATGAGAACGAGATTTTTCTAGTACAAGATGGCGCATGCGCCTTTTTGAGAGGCACGTGCAGAGTTGTTAAAATTTGACAATTAAAAAAAAAAAAATGAAAAAAATTATAAAACAGTTAGCTGTTTACGGATATAAAAAAGTAATAGTTAATTGATAGGTCTACTATATAAGCCTCGGAATGAATTTTTTCTGCAACCATTTTTAGGAAGCAATTTAAACCACGCAAAAATCTTCAGTTTGAAAATTTTAGTATCATTTGGCTAAATGTAATATTAAACTTCATTATTTACTCAAAAAAGCCAAACGCACTGCGTTCAGTTGCAATCCTTTTATTATTATTGTTTTTTTTTTATTTGAGATCACTGACCAATTATTCTAAGGCGCTTTAATAATATCTTCAACCCGAGAGATACATGTATAAAATGTCTCATAAACGTTTTCTGGTTGTCTTGCGAAACTACAATTTTCTCCGCGACTAATTTTTCAAAGTGACGGGACTTATCTGCCCAAATAATTTTCCTGGGGTAATTTTTTTAACCCAAGAAAAGCAGATTTAAAATTTGCTTTAATTTTTTTCCTAGTTATTCTGTCAAACTACTGTTTTTTTTTTCTGCATCCTATATTTTAAAATGACTCTACACTTACCCACCAAAATGAATTTTATTTGCTTGGGTAACAGGCAATTTTCTCCTACTCACGAATCCATTTACAACACAACCCTGCACGTGGATTCGATGTCTTATTCTATTTTAAATTGCACAATTTAGTTATAAATGACTGTCCTTTCGTAAAAAATGCATTAAAAGGGTCAAACTTTTTGAGAAATTTCACCGACAAATTTAAAATGAGTCCGTTTAGGAAGCGCATTTAGTGCGCAGAATGGGTTTTTTGTTGTAAGTTTCTGTCTGCTTTCGAATTGCTTTTGAGAACCTGACAGCTCTTTCAACTGGAGTTTCCGAATGAGCGCAAACATAACAATTACTCGATAGCGACATAACAGTGCTGAAAAATGCACAAATCTATTGTGCCGTTAGTCGAACAATTCATAAACAGTGAAATAACACTTTGTAACAATATGGGGGTCTCTCGTCGAGTACGCTTAACTACGTATGCGTGGCAACTCACCAGGAAACACTTTTGGGGACCCCTTCTCTCTCTCATCATCCCAGGACCCCCCCTAAATCCGCCACAGATTATACACTACGATGTGAAAACATGGGGTTAACAAAATATCAAAATACACTGTATATGGAAAAATGAAACGACTATAGGCATGCTGTGTTAAAACAAATCGGCGTACCGGGTGCTGGACGCCCAATAATTCAAAAGCAGGAAAAATTGTTTCTTCGGGGAAGTTTCTGTTTGGTGAGAAATTCGGAGACGGGGCATTATCCTTAATGGTCGATTGCAAAGGCTTGGAAGGCTTCAAGTTATGAAATAAAGTAGACAAAATAATTATTCATAAATGATGTGGAAAACAGCACAGGGTTCAAACGTCAGCGCATGTTCCTGTGCAAAGGGAAACGCCTTTGAATGCTGCTATATGCTTGATTGAAAAGACTCAAGTTAGCTCGCTAGAGGAAAAAGTACAATCAAAAACTATAATATGGAGTATTTTACCTATACTTTGGCTAATATACCTTTGAATTTTAATGAAACTAGACAGCAAACATGACCTATATACAGATAATAAACTACACGGGAATGTACTCCTATCACTCAATCGTATATAGGCTTTTAGTTTATAAACAAGGCATACAAACTACAGTAAGTGTATGAGATCCATCCCTGTAATAAACTGACAAACCACAAATATCTATTTTGTAATGTCTTTTATCTTTGTTTAACATACAAACATTAAAGTACTATCATAACACTAACTCCTACAAATTTTATGTAAATCTTGTCATATACTTGTTATATTACAAGTATTATTACATGGTCATGCTTTCTTAGTCTAGAAATTTAATCATTATACAAATTTATTACAATTTAAAATAAAACAAAAAGACTGAAAATCAGGTTACCAATAAATGAAATCTACATGCAGGCAACATAAAGAAAAACAAGGTAGCAAAACTGTCAAATTGTGCAGACATACTTAATGTTTTGACAAGATGGTACACAAAAATTTCTTTTCATTAACCATGAATTGATATTACATAATACCACTCACAGAAAAATAATAATACTTAACAAAATAATCCCCGCCAATTTTAATTTCTCACTTCTGTTTATGTGGATATTCATGAAAACTACCACTGTGACAGTGTTTCTGCTCCAGGGGAGTTCAAAATCACAACTCAATAATGTCAATGTCTGAAAAGTCAAAATTTCAAAAATAATAAGAATAGAAAATATAATTATAATAAAAAATAACTTTTTAAAAAGATATCTAATGAGACTAGTTTACAAACTTAATAAGCTGTTATAGATAATCATTATCAATTTACATATCAATACATATTGAAAAAATATACAGTAGTAAATCTCCCAATGTTACTTTTAAACTTCAAAAGTCTCCAGCTACAAGTTATCAATACAACTTGGAAATTCAGATGCTGATATTATGGAGAGCTACTGGTAGTCAACACTAACACATCTCTTCTACTCTAATAAGGAGCACTTTGCAGGTCTGTCTTAATTTCACATCATTAGTTACTTCTGAATTCTGTTTCAGGAAGTACACATCTTTTGAATTTGCCATTTCAGTTCTATCTTTACCATCTAAATCTACTTTTTCATAGCTTTGGGAATCATCTGAATCACTCCTCGACTTTTCATCTGGACAAAAATTGTTGGTAGTATCTTCCTCTGTCTCTGTCTCTGAGTCAATCTCCACATAGCTTGTCAATTTCTGAGCTTTCCTTTTCAGACCTCTAGAGGTTTCTCTCCTAGTAAATGTAGATTTTCTGCCACTGCCTGTCGAAGTGTCAGAATCACTCTCTGAGCCAGTCATGATCACACAGTCATCTGAATCTGAATTGCTGTCTGAGTCTGTGTCTGTATCACAATCACTGACACCCTTGCTGACATGCTTCCTTGGTCTCTTTAAAGGTGGTCTTTTCTTAGAATCCATATTGTTCTTTTGTTTTGATGTTCCACTTTTTCCATTCTTTTTCTTTCTAGCTTCTACCAAACACAATGATGGATCTGGTTTGTCTGGTTTCTCATGCCCTATTTCTGCGTGTCGACGGGTGTGCAGCTTCCAGTTGCTGTGATTTACAAAGCCTTTTCCACAGTATTCACACTCTTTTATCACTTTCCCTGTATGAACTCTAATATGTTTCTCCAGGTTGTCTTTTCTGGTAAATTCTCTGTCACACAAGTCACATGCATATAGTTTTATATCTAGATGACTTCTCATGTGTTGAATTTTGCCACTGCCAACAACGAAGTTGCCACAAATATCGCATAAAAACTTTTTTTGGTGATATCTATCGATGTGATTCTCCCAATTATAAAAGCCTAGGCCACATTCCTCGCACATTTCCTGCTCCACTGCATGGAAAATTTTCTTGTGCTTCTGCAAACTTTTTAGAGAAAGGAATATTCTATCACATTTATCACATGGCTGTTGTTGTTCAGAATTGGAATGACACTGTGCTTTATGTTGCTTCAAATGATATCTCTTTTTATTTTTGTATCCACAGATTTCACACACATGCATAACCTGCACAGGGTGCTTCTCTTTCACGTGCTTGCGTAAAGATGGGAAGTTTTCAAACTTAAGATCACAGTGCTGGCAGGCTGCAACATAACGCAGATTATGGTCTTTACGCATGTGTTTGTAGTACTCAGTTCTGAAAAATCCTTTCCACCCACAAAGGTTGCAAGGAAACGGACAAACACCTGGGCCATGTTCGTGCCAATAATGTTCCTTCAAATCTGGGGTTGGGATAGACTTTTCACACACCATACAAACCGACTTCTTTCCTTCACCATGATGATCTGTTACATGTGACATGGCATTTAACGAACTTAGCTTACTGTAAGGAATGCCACAAGAACACGCAAACTCTGAGCCTATTTCATGGGAAAAAACAGCATGTTTCTCAAGTTCTATTCCACCCCCGATCACTTTGTTACAGCTCTTACAATCAAAAAGAATGCTGTACACACGTCCCTGATAAAGCTCGTTAAATTTGTATCCAATTACCACGGGTGTATCTTCTGACCCTGACTTCTCATGACAGTAGTTCATCTGGTATCCAATAGCAGGATAGGATCTTACTGGGTATGGCATCAGATGAGGGTGATGGGGCCCTCTATAATTAAGATAAGGAAGGGCTGCTCGCCACCTTTGATATTGCATAAAGCCACGCCGGGTCTGCATGGACAGGGAATATCTTGGTGTTTGCTGCATGGGATAGCATATAAATGCAGGAGGAAAATATGAAGTAAAGTTGTGATGATGAGCAGGAATGTTATGGGTGTTTTGACCAAAGTAATGGCCTGTCCAGTTGACTTGTGGCCTGACCATTGCAGATCCATGACTTGAGAACTTTGGCTCCACTTTTACAATTGATGACTGGTCTTGTATGCTGAAACAACATCCATTCCCTTGTTCAGGGTCAGTTTTAATGTTTGATATAAAATCTTTGCTTTCCACACAACAACAAAAAACCTTCATGTCTTGTTTTGCAGGAGGAGCATTCTCCTCATTTCCAGGATAATTGTAAAATCCACCGCACGCAGAACACAGGGGGCAAGCTGCTTCTTGTCCAGAGAATGAACCTACTGAGGGTGGACGTGTGAATTCTTTTGAATCTTGCACATGAGCAATGGGGATAGATGAATTTTTTCTGTCAATTGTAATACTTTGCTCAGGAGTACCAGCATAAACTGAATCATTAAGAGACTCCTGTTTAAATTCAGTTTTAATGTCCTGGCAGTTATGCACATGCACAGATGTATCATCTCCTGGTTCAACTTTCAAGGCTGAAGAAATGGTTTCATTTCCACAACTATCTGATGAAGTTGCAGTGCTCCAACTACTGCACTGTTCATTGGGCTCTTCTTTTATTTCTGAGAATGTGCAGGGACCATCTACACAACAGATTTCTGTGTCTGGAGCTTTTGTCATCCCTTCTGGCAATCTGTTTGGTTCGCCGTTAAAGAGATGTCCATTGTGCCCAGGTTCAGTTTTAACACTAAATGTCTCCTCCAAATTGTATTTTGATTTGTCACTAGAAACTTCAGCTGCCATTTTCCTTGGGTCTTAAAAGAGAACATAAATATAATGTCAGTGAAGTTGTTCTGATGCTACATGAAGTAAATTATCAAGAAAATACACCTAATTTGTGTTACCTACAGTAGTAATGAAAATTCTGTGCGGTGATTAGACCTCTTTGTCCATAAAATCATTTGGCCCTGTGATGTTAGCAAAACCAGATTCAGATTTTCAAGCATGGTGACGCACAACAATGGATTTCTTTTCTATCACAGCCCTCTTCATCACATGCAAGCAATTGCTATTTATTCACTTTATATATTTTACCTTTTACATACAGGTTGACATTTGTACATTTACATATAATTCTTATGCAATGGTTTTCCTAACTATGTCTGCGAAAAAGTACAAGCACCATTAACGAAAGCGACTCTTTGTTCTCAACAAGTTGGAAAGATAATTACCCGACTTGTCATGTATTAAATGACCTACGGTAGTTTTTGACAATGAAGCTTTCAAAATAAATAATTTTAAGCCAAATATATAAATAATTTTAAGAGAAATAAAATAAAACAAGCCATTTAAAATCGTTACCTTTGCGTTTACGACTCTAAGAAGAGTGATAATGGCGCGTAGGCGTACGCTCTTGTCCGGGGACCCCGCCAAAACTGTTCTAATCCCTGACATCTACATGACAACAGTAAACTAAATAGTGACCGGTAACTCTTTTGAAGAAGGAGATTCTTTTATCACTAATAAATAAAAACCACTACACCACTCCGCGTCCTTCTGTCGTGTTCATGAAGCACTCAACTATTATTATTATTATTATTATTATTATTGCATTTTGTTTGGCTTACTACCATACACCGACCTTCTTTTCTGTACCGGTAACCACTGAAACAAGATGAATGCATTATCGATGTGTAGTTGTTTTCATCATTCTCGTACCTGAATCTCCTTCTTGTAAAGAGTGGCTATGTAAATAATGTAGGATTGTGCAATATTGGCGGGATCACCCTGGAGGGGGCTAACACTTGGGCGCCATTATCAAACCCGTGATAAATACAAAGGTACACTTATTTTTACTCAATTCTTGTAAATTCTATTTACATATATTTTATCTTATATAAGTTAAGAAACCTTTTTTTTTTGCTAATTTAGAAGGCTTTGGGCGATACTGACGAGCACAGCTGGGACGAAGAAAACGTTATGTTCGTTCATGTCAAGAATTAGGACACTACTAGAGTATAGGGAGTGGTTTAATCTTCAGTCTTGAAGTCAGAAGATCTGGTTAATCTTGTACCGATGAACACCTGTTGGCTCTGGGTTACGTGGTGCCACGGCGTGTAGTACATGTAGTCGTTTGCACTCTTAAATTTACAGTGAATTTGTGAGTTATGTACCTAGGATATATATGCCCCAGTATTGATAATCGCCCCTATTGTTACTTTCAAGTATTTTGCACCTCTTAGCAAAATAACATTACATGTACAACCAGCATCAATGCCCCTTGCATCTTTACACCCCTTCTCTTAATTTCTCTCTCTCACTCTAACACGTACACACATACAGACACACACACGCGCGCGCACGCACGCACGCACGCACACACACACACACACACACAGTCTCCTTGCTGTCTTCTCACTTAGCACTTTGTTTGAAGCAGGTTCCTTAGTCTGACAGAGAAATTTATTGTTATAGGGCCTCATACAGCAGCTGGGCTGTATCCTCCCCGGGGAGACAAGATCATCACAGTATGAAATGGCCAGCCATCAAACTGTTCTTATATTCAAGTTATATACCACATTATACCCCACTATTTATATATATGTTTGTAAGATTTTGTGAAGTATATTTCACATAATTGTACAATCCAACTACCAGTACCTTTGGTTGAAAATAAACATTATTACTATTATTAACAAGAAGTGGTTTATGTGCAATAGATTTTTATATCTCACACTTTGTCCCCTTAAAAATTATGTTCTAAATGTCACATGTTTACTAGGGGAGAAATGTTGTGGGAGGATATGAGATACAGGAATAACATTGCAGGGATGAATAGAGATACTGAGTATACACTATGGACACTATTGGTCTTTGTGCTTAATGCAAGTAGATTAACTGAATGACATATCACCTGTTGGCATTGTAAGGAATACAGAAAACTGGTGATAATATGAGAATGTTGGAAACAGAAGGGGTTGGTTAATCTGTAAAACTGATTTATTCAGCGTGCGTTCCCTGTGGAGTTAGAAAAATCTAAGCACTCAGTAGACTAAAAGTGCCTATGGGATTTAGCCTTAATTTTGTTCCGAAGGTTATCATTAATTACTAAATAACATATATCATGGTATATGTGTTGTAAATGTGTACAGTTTTTTTGAAATGTTATTTCATAATAAGTTATCAGAGCAAGCTCACTGAAGCTAAATGTTGCTCTTTTCAGAGTCTATTGAATTGAGGGAGCACATTTGGAAAATGGCAGCTGAAGCTTTTAGTGATGTTGTATCAAATTACAAGCAGCATTCAGAAGCCTGTCTTTTAACTGGGAATTCAGAGCAGACATTTAGCATTAAAACTGAACCTGGACAGCTCTGTCCCAGTGAGACCAACGGATTGCCAGAGGGGATGACAAAAGCTCCAGACACAGAAATCTGTTGTGTAGATGGTCCCTGCACATTCTCAGAGATAAAAGATGAGCCCAGCGAGCAGTGCAGTAGTTGGAGCGGTGCAACTTCATCAGATAGTTGTGGAAATGAAACCATTTCTTCAGCCTTGAAAATTGAACCAGGTAATGACGCATCTGTTCATGTGCATAACTACCAGGACATTAAAACTGAATTTAAACAGGAGCCTCTTCATGATTCAGTTTATGCTGGTACTCCTGGGGCAAGTATTACAACTGACAAAAAAAATTCAGCTTTCCCCAATGATCAAGTGCAAGATACCAAAACACTCACACATTCACCCTCATTGTGTTCATTCCCTGGGCAAGCAGCAAATCGCTACCTGTGTTCTTTTTGCGGTGGGTTTTACCATTTTCCTGAAAAAGGAGAAAATGTTCCTCTTGAGAATGCAATACCAGACCAGGAAGTTTGTAGTTGTTGTAAGGAGTCCAGACATCCTGGTCCAGATATTAAAACTGACCCCGAGGAAGATGATACTAGTACATGTTGTTTCAGCATACAAGACCAGTCATCATCTGTTCAAACCGACCCAAAGTTCTCAAGCCATGAATCTGAATTGGTCTCAAATTCTGAGAACAAACCTGTGGTGATTGGATACAAATTAAATGGGCTTTATCAGGGACGTTGGTACAGCATTCTTTATGATTGTAAAATCTGTGATAAAATAATTGGGGGTAGGGATGAAATGCAGAAGCATGCTTTGTTTTCCCATGAAATAGGTACAGAGTTTCGGTGTGTTTGTGGTGATCCTATACCTTACCTGTCGTCTGGAAATGGACTTTCATATCATGCAAGAGTTACTCATGGGATAGAATCGTTGAAGCAGTTTACATGTACTTTGTGTGAAAAGTTAGTCCCAGAGTCTGATGTAAAAGCACATTATGAGGATGAACATGGCCCTGATGCTAGTCCATTTCCTTGTGGCCTTTGTGGTTGGAAGTTATTTCGAAAGTCTAATTATAACAAGCACATGCGGAAAGTTCACAGGCTGCGTTATGTTGAAAGTTGCCAAGATTGCGGTCTAAGGTTTGAAAGCTCTTTATCTTTACGTAAGCACATGAAAGAGAAACATGCCTCTCGCAGGCATGTGTGTGAAATCTGTGGATACACAACCAAAAGAAAAAGTATGATAGACAATCATAAAGTTATGCATCATTTCAAGTCTGAACAACAACCATGCGATAAATGTGATAAAGTATTCACTTCTTTAAAAAGTTTGCAGAGGCACAAAGAATGTTACCATGCAGTACACCAGGAAATGTGTAAGGAATGTGGCATATGTTATGATAATTGGGAAAATCATGTCTGTAGATATGACGAAAAAAAGTTTTTGTGTGAAGTTTGCGGCAATTTCATTGTCAACTGTGGCAAAATTCAACATTTAAGGAGTCACTATAATGTAAAGCTATATGTATGTTACTTGTGTAACAGAGAATTTACCAGAAAAGACAACCTGGACAAACATATTAGAGTTCACACAGGGAAAATGATAAAAGATTGTGAATACTGTGGAAAAGGCTTTGTAAATCACAGCAACTGGAAGCTGCACACCCGTCGACACGCAGAAATAGGGCATGAGAAACCAGACAAACCAGATCCATCATTGTGTTTGGTAGAAGCTAGAAAGAAAAAGAATGGAAAAAGTGGAACATCGAAACAAAAGAACAATACAGATTCTAAGAAAAGACCAACTATAAAGAGACCAAGGAAGCATGTCAGCAAGGACGTCAGTGATTGTGATACAGACAGCGAGTTAGATTCAGATGATTATATGAGTGACCCTGGGAGAGAGGTGGACACTTTGACAGGCAGTGGCAGAAAATCTACATTTACTAAGAGAGGATCCTCTAGAGGGCTGAAAAGGAAAGCTCAGAAATTGACAAGCTATGTGGAGATCGACTCAGAGGCAGACTCTGAGGGAGATACTGCCAATAATTTTTGTCTGGAAGAAAAGTCAAAGACTGATGCTGACTGTTCCAATGTTGTTGAAAATGTGGATTTGGACAAGAAAGATGAAAAAGTTGTGTCAGATTCAAAAGAAGTGTATTTCATTAAGCAGAATTCAGAAGTGACCAATGATGTCAAATTAAATCAGTCTTGTAAAGTGCACCTTATCAGACTAGAAGACATGGAAAAGCTGTAAGAGATCATATTCTGGGGTAGCGCTAGCAATTTTTATGACTAAGCCAAATCACCACTTTTTAATTTGTCAATTTGTTATCAAAATGGTAATAATTTGACTAAAACAAGTCAATCAGGCCCTTTTTCTTTAGCCAATTTAAGTCAGTTTTAGCATTTGGCTAAATTGGCGAGTGTTAGTGCTACCCCAGATATTGTTAGTGTTGACTACCTCTTCATAATAGCTGGATTTCTAAGTTAAACAGATGACTGTTCAAAGTCAAGTTACAGTTAAAATGCCTTTGTAAAAGTTTTAGTTGTACATATGAAGTTACATTGCAATATCAATTACACATAGTATTACATGTAGGCGCATGTTAGTCACCTATTGTGTTGCACATTCTGAGAGCAGAAAACGTAGCAAGACTGAGACTACTTTCACTTTTATTGTCAGTAGATGAGTTGAATTCGTGATAGTTCGACACATGATATACATGTATGTGAATTTAATATGGGTTTTTATTTATTGGAATGGCAAGATTTTTATGGTCTTTGAAAGAATTTGCACTACCATCAAGTATTTAATCGACAAATAAATTGCACAAATTAATTATGTTAATACCCCAATGATTTTAATATATGTAATTTGTAATGGCAAAAGGTGGCAGGGTTAATTTATTTGTAAACTAATATTCAAGCAGATTTTAGTACATGCTAAGTCTCTTTAAATGCACCTAGGATTCTGGTAGGATTATAAATGTTATTCTGACCGTATTCTTGGAATTTCAAAGACAAGTATATAAAGTCAGGTAAAAAAGTCCCTCACCCTCGCTTGGTCAAGCAAATGGCTTCACTACTCCTAGTATAAGGAATGGTAAAGAATGTACTTTAATCACTTACTATATCTAAGAATGTACCATGGATTAGTTAGGAATAAACCAAGATTTTTTGCATTCTGGGGTTCGGAACCAACATTTGGAACAGCTCAGAATTTTTATCTCGATTTCATGTATTCTAAAGAATTGCAAGAACTAACTGTGGATAAATAAAAATCAGTTAGAAGCTTCAAAAAATTATCACGATTAAACTAAGAACCCTTGTATTTATCAATTGCTGGTGTTTTGAGGATATCATAGTCTGTTCTCAGGGACCAAAGTATTGAAAAAAAATGTAGTATTTTTAAAACTTTCAAACATACTGTGGTATTAAGTTAATCTGTGGAATCCTTTGACTGATAAAATTCACACACAGGAAGCTAAGGTGTATAAGTAGCTTTAGATAATATTTGACACGTAGCAAGCACCCCCAAGCTATAGTAATCCGATAGAGCTTGATTACATAGAGTACTTGGGAGTGCCCACCATGAAGGGCTGGACTTGTGTCTGAAGTAACCAATCAGTTTATAAGTTATGTGATTGACAATTTAATTGATAAAGTTTAGCATAAAATTTGTGAACTTAAATCATAAGGGGGAGATTGAGAGAGAGGGAGAGACTAAAGAGAGATTGGATTGAGGCTGGAAAGGGATCTTTATTGTACAATGTAACTTTTAGTCTAGCAAAATATATTCTGTTGAAGTTGCAACATGGAGTCATTTTATTCTTCTTGTTGTAAGGAGTCCAGACATCCTGGTTCAGATATTAAAACTGACCCCGAGGAAGATGATACTAGTACATGTAGTTTCAGCATACAAGACCAGTCATCGTCTGTTCAAACCGACCCAAAGTTCTCAAGCCATGAATCTGAATTGGTCTCATATTCTGAGAACAAACCCGTGGTGATTGGATACAAAGTAAATGGGCTTTATCAGGGACGTTGGTACAGCATTCTTTATGATTGTAAAAACTGTGATAAAATCATTGGGGGTAGGGATGAAATGCAGAAGCATGCTTCGTTTTCCCATGAAATAGGTACAGAGTTTCGGTGTGTTTGTGGTGATCCTATACCTTACCTGTCGTCTGGAAATGGACTTTCATATCATGCAAGAGTTACTCATGGGATAGAAACGTTGAAGCAGTTTACATGTACTTTGTGTGAAAAGTTAGTCCCAGAGTCTGATGTAAAAGCACATTATGAGGATGAACATGGCCCAGATGCTAGTCCATTTCCTTGCGGCCTTTGTGGTTGGAAGTTATTTCGAAAGTCCAATTATAACAAGCACATGCGGAAAGTTCACAGGCTGCGTCATGTTAAAAGTTGGTCAATATAATGATGAAAAAATTTTTCAATCCTATCTGGCCAAAATTGAAGAAAACTGCCAGTACCGGCCCTTATGAAAATCACTCAAACTCACCCAGAAACGACCTTAGATTTTTTCCAAACGTGATAAAAATCAATCTACCACACCTGTCATTCATAAAAAATGTGTAAATGCGCCTGGATCACTTCATTAAAGCCCCCAATTTCAGCTTTAAAGATGATCAAAAAATAACCTGAGAACAGAATCTAAGACAGGTGGGTTGGCCAGAGTTCTTGCTCTATTTCTCGCTTAATTTTGACAAAATCACTCTTCCGGTACTTTATACTGACTACAAATGACCAAACACACCTACCGGTCACTATAATGAAGAAAAAATTTTTTCTTCCCTACCTTGCCAAAATTGAAGAAAACTGACAGTGCCAGCACTTATGAAAATCACTCAAAATCACCCAGAATCGACCTGTCTCTGATTTTTCCAAAATGTGACAATAATCAATCTACTACACCTGTCATTCATAAAAAATGTGGAAAAGTGCCCTGATCACTTCATTAAAGCCCCTAATTTCATCTTTAAAGAGGGGTGTGGAGAGAGTTTTGGCTCTATTTCTTTTTTAATAATGACACAACCACTCATCCAGTACTTAACACTCACTACAAATGACCAAACACACCTACCTGTCACTATAATGAAGAAAAAAATTTTTCTTCCCTATCTGGCCAAAATTGAAGAAAACCGCCATATCCGGTGTACCATGAAAATCTGACTCCCCTAAAATGTGACTCCCCAGTCAGATTTTCATTATGAAAATGTGACTCCCCAGTCAGATTTTCATAATGCAAATGTGACTCCCCCTATGAAATTTTGACTCCCCTTCCACAAAACTTCAAAAATGCACATTTTTAATTTTCTTATTTTTTCATGAAAATTATCACCTGCAAACTACAAAAAAAGGGCCTATGTATCCTCCATTTTACATACTACAAGATCACAGTCATATACTCAAAATAAAATAAGATTTATGAAGTTTTGTGGAGGGGAAGTCAAGTTTTCATGGGGGAGTCAGATTTTCATTATGTGCACATTTTTAATTTTCTTATTTTTTCATGAACATTTTCACCTGCATACTACAAAAAAAGTGCCAATATATCCTCCATTTTACATACTACAAGATCACAGTCATATACTCAAAATAAAGTAAGATTTATGAAGTTTTGTGGAGGGGGAGTCAAATTTTCATGGGAGTCAGATTTTCATGTTACACCGGCACTTATGAAAATCATAACAAAAAATCGACCCGTCTCCGATTTTCCCAAAATGTGACGAAAATCAATTTACCATACCTGTCATTCTTAAAAAATGTGGAAACATGCCTGAATTACTTCATTAAAGCCCCCAATTTCAGCTTTAAAGATTGTCAAAAAGCACACCTGGGAACAGGATTTGGAGAGAGGGGGGTGGAGAGAGTTTTGGCTCTATTTCTTCCTTAATAATGACACAACCACTCTTCCAGTACTTTACCCTCACTACAAATGACCAAACACACCTACCGGTCACTATAATGAAAAAAAAAATTTCATCCCTACCTGGCCAAAATTGAAGAAATCTCACAGTGCCGGCACTTATGAAAATCACTCAAAATCACCAAAAATCGACCCGTCTCCGATTTTTCCAAAATGTGACGAAAATCAACCTACCACACCTGTCATTCATAAAAAATGTGGAAACACGCCCGGATCACTTCATTAAAGCCCCCAATTTCAGCTTTAAAGATTTGTCAAAAAGCACACCTGAGAATAGGATTTGGAGAGAGGGGGGGGTGGAGAGAGTTTTGGCTCTATTTCTGCCTTAATAATGACACAACCACTCTTCCAGTACTTTATCCTCACTACAAATGATGAAACACACCTACCGGTCACTATAATGAAGAAAAAAATTTTTCATCCCTACCTGGCAAAAATTGAAGTTAGTGCGATAGTCTCTGGGAATGGTCCCTCAGTATGTAGTCATGTGGTGTCATTTGATTTTTCACTTCAGCGCGATGAGACTTTATATTGCATCCAGTGCTGCGGCAGTTGGGACTCTGGCTCCAAAATCGCCCATCACGGCAATGCCTGAAATGATCAAAATCTTGAGGATTGGCTTTTTTCTTTCTATATATTACCTGCAAATATATCACATGATAATATCACGGCAATCCATATGTAGTTGTCCCGACTCAATTTGTCAAAATTACATTTCATTTGATATCAAATATTTATAAATGAAAATTGTGCTCACTGATAACTCAATCAGAAATTTAATTATCTTAATTATTCTTAAAGTATCATTTGCTTACCTATACTCACTGAAAACTAAGATTGTCCTATCCTTCTGGATTTGTTCACCAACAGTTGCCAAATACTCAATCAGAATTTGAATTATTTCAGTATTTCTTTAAGTATAATGTATAATTTACTAATTTATCCTCACTGATAACTAAAATTATCCTTGCTTTGTTTTTTTTCACCAACAGTTTTTTTTTATGAAAAGTAAAATTTTGCACAAGTGCTCATGTTCGTTTCACTTAATTGCAACAGAGAATTACATCTCATATTCATAACCTTGACAAAGTTAAATATTAATGTAGTGTGTGTGCCTGTGTGTGTGTGTGTGTGTGTGCGTGTGTGACAGGTATATATTTATATGAATGCGCACCCTAAATTATTTCATTTTATTTGTAAATACAATCCATGTATATCTAAGTGCAAAATAGCCATTGTGTTTTAAATGTTGTGCAAAATTTTAATTGTAAAATCACTGAAATGTTTTTGGTACAAAATACTTGGCAGAAGGGCAGATTATTCCATTGAACATTAATTTTCATTCTTTTGATGTTTCATACCAGTGTATTAAAATTAATTCATATGAAATATTCTTCTTCTTTTTACCTTTGGTATGTCCTGCTTATAAGTGATTATTATCATTCGATATCTGATGCAGTATTATTAACCCAAATAAAGGGAGTCGGATACTTATCACATACTATAATGTGCCAAGAATAATTTAAAACAGGAACTTTAATATAGAAACACATTTTATTTTCAAAATTGACATTAACATAGAAATAATATAGACAATATTTATGTTAATAAGTATATTTAAATTTTAATAAATGCAGTGTAGCACTTTTAACTTAAAATTAATTTTGTCTGGTATTTCTCATAACTCCAATGGACTGAATAAATGATTTACAAAGTGCTCTTAAATGTTTTGCCTTCTTTACACAATGGTTTAAATGGCAAACCAAATGAAAAAGTAATAATATCAAAATATGGAGACCATTTCTTTGAAAAAGTGTGTCCACATGTTCTTTGACTTTAAATTAAAAAAAAAAATTAAAGTGTACCTTCATGTGCACTTCAAAAATATATTCGAAGGACAACTGTTTTTGCCAGTGCTTTCATTTGGTCTCTGGAATTGGTGAAAACAAAACAAAAAAGACCACAATGGCAGAAATGAAAGAGAGAGACATCTGTTAAGTATGAGGGGGGAAGGGTGCAGACCACTTACTCTGTTTGTCTCAATGCGTTAAATGCCCGTGGTCATGCAAATTAAACGAAAAAAAAAAAAAGAATAGTACTGAGACTCATTCATTCAACCTTGGATAACAGCTACTGTTTATCCTGGGCATAGGAAAACAGTTATACTCGTTGAATGATTAGTTAACATATAATAATTTCTTTCCTGAATAAAGTGATTTAAGCCTGTGGAAAAGCAGTAAGTGTGACATGCACATTTGTAACCCAATCCCAGATTGGTTAATTTTTGGTAAATCTTGAACAGCTTTAATATTGCACACTGCAATAAGGCAGCATATTCATCAGCACAGCATAAGAATATGTATGCTTGGACTAGAAACTAATTATACGCCAGCACATATATATGGGGGACGGAACCGGACACAAACGGAGGTTTTACCTGAACAAAATACTACTTCTAATAATATCTTCAGTTCATTACAGATTGACTAGTGTTACAGTATACATATATGTATATTTATATATAGCAAGGTTAACAAATAATATGCAAAGCAATATATTAATTGATTTATATGTATGTTTTGCAACATTAAGGCATACAGTGGTCCATCAGCCTCCTCTGCTGACACTAGAATGTTTTAAAAGACGAGCCGCCACAATCTGCGATGTTTTCCATAGCAATCTGTTCTATCTAGGAGACCAAACTATGGCATGACAAATGTGATTGTATATTGTATGAATATATTCTGTGACATGAAAACCTTAAAGCAGCTTATATATTAAAAAATATACATCTTTACAGCTGTCAAAGGAAAGCCATGCATATAACACTTGACAGGATAGCACTGCAGTGGGAAGCTGAAAAGCTCTTAAAACATGGCTTTGCCTTTTTAAACTAATCACTTTAACCTGCACCACTGATAATAAAATAATATACTTGCCTAACTTTTTGGGTGGCATCTTTGCAAAGAAAAGCACGGAGGTGTAATATTTTTACTGTAATTATTTACAAAGACAATACATACTTCTACGTCGCAGAGGAGTGCACACATAACTTGGATTCATTGATAACAAACAATTACTCTGCACAGTTGGCACCATAACTTAAAGCGGCTAAACAACAAGGAAAACTTTTTTTTTCACAAACAAAACATGAAAACTGGGCACCAATCTAAATTACATCAAAACAAGGGTATGGAGGAGTGTAGCAAGATTTTTCCATGGTTGCCATCTTGAAATGATGTCCGATTGTCCAAGCGACAACATGAAAAAAACATTTTTTTTTGGCATCTCTACCACTCCAAGATGGCAGCCATGTCATAATATTTAGGTTCCTCAAGACTTAAAATAAATATGTATGTACACACTGTCTATCAGGACAGCAAACAAATGGCTGTCTCAAGAAACAAGGTTTTTATACCTATATCTGTAAATATATCATTGTAATATTGCACATGGATGTACGCCCACTGTAACTGCCATGCCACTATATACTAAGATGAAAACCACCATCAAATGCAATCTGCTTTTTTGACCTTTGCTGTTTACCTTAGCTACCATGTCATTAGTGATGATAAATTCACAAAATTATGGAAGGCCAAATTTTCAGGATTTCCATATTTTGGTTGAAAATAAACCTTCGAAATATTTCAGATGGAGATAAGTAATTTTAAGTATTTGCAGCAACATGAGTAATATGATTCCTGTTAAAAGGGCATATTTCTTATTGATTTAAAGATTCAAGTCGATTTTTGACGGACAATTGATTTTTTACATAACACAAGAGAGAATGCTTTAAATAAGTCCATAATTCAACAAACCTTAACTGTTTCATATAAAAACAACATTGCTGTGCTAAATTTATCATCAGCAATTAAAAAAAACTTCTTCAAATCTTCTGAGATATCCTGCTCCTTTGCGCTACAATGTGTCACCAACCAGCGGTGCAAAATGGCACTTGAAAGTAAAATTTTGATTATGTTCACAAAAAAAAAAAAAAAAAAAAAGTGGCTTTTTAATTTGTTGGGCATCTTGTCAACTGGGTAACAGCTACTTTTGAATACAGTTTGCTGGATGCAACCATCATACTAAACAATTGTGTTAGGTTGTTTTCAGTTCACCCTTTATATTTGCCCATAGCATATAACACCGACATCAAAATTGCCAAATAATAAAACTTCGACGCCTGACACGTGCGTATGCTTATTCATTTTCAACCCTGAGGCAGGAATCATTCTTGGCCACGTTATCTTGGGCATTCCTTTGTTGACAATGACCCATTTTTCACACCCATCCATATTCACACGTATCATATTGTTCAACAAGTTTACCACCTCTCTCACAGACATCTCATCCAGTATATAAAAGCAGAGGCAAATAAAGACAATATGAATAAATAACATAAATAATCCTTTGTACATTCACATGTAACATATGGTCCTGCCATATCAAAGGCTATATCAAAATCCGCAAAACACTTACTGGTACTACACAATATATGTATTGTGATCTACATGTATATACTGAGTGTCAACTGATATACTGTTTTCACAACGTTAGTGTGTGTGATTATACTTGTATAATATTGTCATTGGCTGTTTAACTTCAACAACCAGGCTGCAGAAGTAGTAGGCTTTAACATTCAACCATTACAATATATGCCATAGCTAGTTGTGCTGCAGTACATAAATGTCTATGATTCCTGGCAACTTTTCCAAGTTTTATTTTAATCCCCGTTTTTGTGCTCACTTGTGACAAGGGCCTTTCCCAGAATGTATAAGTCTGTGCTTTTTTCGATCTTCCGTTCCCAAGAACTTCCTGAGCACACAATTCTGTCAGAATGTACAACCATCCACCTATGTGACTTCCATGTGCTGTTTGTCACAGTGTTGGTTGTCATAGCGCTGATTGTCACTGGATCAGTCACATTTGCAGTTGCCATGGAGCACCAGACTTTGTTCACTGCCACGGCAACTGAGCCAACAATGATGCTGCTTGTGATCAGTCATATCTGACAAGTATTTAGTAGCCATGGTGCTGGTTGCCATGGTTTCGGTTGCCATAGCAAGTGTAAAGTGATGATTGTTAAGCTCTACCATACAGAGTTACTGCAGCCCTTTCATCTAGTCACCATGCCTCTGTGTAACGTACGTCACACTCTTGAAGCCCTGGTAATTTTTCCTGAAAAATCCAAGTGTACTGATGCAAAATAACATCACCAGTAGATGTAATCAATATAAAGCATTCAATCTCTTTATATTATCTCTATAGATTGAATCTAACTAAAATTGTTTTAAATACTTTTCCCTTCCAAGAAAAACAATTGTTTTAAATACTTTTCCCTTCCAAGAAAAACAATGAAGTACAAATGAGACATTTGAAATACTTTACTAGATCTTTACCTTCAAACTCTCAAATGTTAATGCTGATAAGCTGGTGCTGTTTAAATTCAGTTTTCTTAAATTCTTCAGACCTGAAGAGAGGAAAATGCAATGATTTATTAAAACTACCTTCATTTATCAGATGTGTGTGTTCCGATCATAAAATAAAAAATATCTTAACACTCAGACCAGTAACTTAATCATAATACAGAAATGTTAATTAGACTGTGTGTGTGTGTGTGTGTGTGTGTGTGTGTGTGTGTGTGTGTGTGTTAATTACACACACATACATGCATGCACTTTTGTGCTTGGGGTTAGCAGGCCAAAACATTTTTGTGACTAACTTGAGGTGAGAGATCTTGAAGCAAGACGCTGCCCTCAGAATAAGAGAGGCCTTTGGGATAAGGTATTTATCATTATAAGAAATGACTCCCATTTGTTTTTCTTAATACAGTAACTGTTGTGGTCTTAAATAACCCAAAGTTCAATATATTATGGCTTATATATTACAATGCCTGTTGTTGTTGTTGTTATCATTATTATTACTTTATTATTCCTACCTGCTAAACACTGTAAGCCCTTATCTGTTACTGGGGTTTCACATAGATTCAACACTTGTAGTTTGTGGAGGTGTTCTGATATCAGCTGTAAACCAGTGTCTCCGAACTAGAACAAAGATGAAAAAATGTGTCAGAAATGGATGCCCGTCAAAGAACTTAATAAAAACAGGTGGAGAGAGTATTTAAAAGAAAAAATATTTAAAAAATAAAATAACAAATTAAAAAAATAATAATAATTAAAAAAAGGCAAACATTTAGGTCGGCATTGATGCAGTCAATAAACAAAACCCACTCTAGTGGGCTCGATTTGGTCTTAAAGTGCAATTTTAGATCACAAATGATCTAACATCTACTTAAGTGGTCAAGTAGTTTCCTCCCCTCACAGTGGGGGGATACCTCTCCTCACAAAAGAGGACACCCCTGCTCACAATAGGAGAATGTGTAAGGGGAGGCAACTTAATTGGCTTTCAGTGCAGAAATGGTCTTACTCATGGTTTAAGATCACATAAGACTATTTGCGATCTTAAATTGCACTTTAAGACCAAATCAAGCCCACTAGTGCACATCATCTTTGTGTGACAGTTTGTTTGGGGTGTACATCTATAAAGAATATAATCAGCTTTTCTGTCTGTGTCTAAATGTCACATTGTCAGAAGAAAATTCCCTCTAACATACAAAATATTTAATAGAAACAATTAACAATTTGCTAAACAAGATTACTGAAACACGAAGATCTTGCATCTATATCTATCAACTAACAGGTGCTCAATGGAAAAAAGTCCCTTTTTGTAGTTTTTGGTATTTTCTCAGCTCCCTCTCCCTCTCTGTGCATGAGAGATATCTTTGTACATGATATCTTTCAATAAACCTTTTCATTGTACTTTCAATGATTTAAATACCATTTAAGACCAGATATTTAGATATTGAATGAAAGTTACATGCCTCTATCATTCTAAAGATGTATTTACTTATGAACAACAGTGAATTATCATTATCATTTTATGTATACTATCATCTGTGTTTGAAATGTTCCATTTGTTTATCTCTGTATGCTGCAAAACTACTTCCCTTTATCAATTCAGACCTTAAAAAAGACAAAATCAATTAAAAAAAAGTACATGACATAAATAATTTTCTTCCAAATCGATCAGGATAATATGATGGTCTTTGTATGTGACTTAACATTCATTTAGACTTGAATCATTCAATGAGAAATGATATAAAACGTCGGTATCCAAGCATACGGTTGGGTCAAACAATTATTCGTGAGTAGAAAAAAAAATTGCTCTTTTTTTCTAGAAAAATACAATTTGTTTGAAAACTCCTGGAAAGAATCCTTTCGACCATGTCAGAAATCGAACATTTTCTCACCTGTGTTGACCAGAGATTTAGATATCTAAGAGACGGAAGTTTGATCAGTTCTCCTGCACAGGCACTTGAGACTTGGGTAAAGGCAAGACTGAGACATTCCAGGTTACCAAAACTGCCAGAACTCAACATCTTGGCCAAATCAGCATCCGTGGACTTTGAAGGTAATGTCAACTTCTTGGGGCCACCTTTCTGTTGCTATGTAAAAAGAAACAGAATTGCTTGTGTAACAAAGCTACAGAGATAAATCCCAGCTTATGCATCAAGAAGAACAAGCATCTTATTAAAAATAGGATTATTACAACTAAGCTTCTTTGCTAAGGAAAAGAAAAGTTTTCTTAATAATAAAAAAGCTATTTTAAAGCAACCAGCTCTAATGATCCTATTATTGAGAAGATGAAATATGGAAGAGTAAGTTCATATTATTTAAAAAACAAGGAAAATAAAAGAGACTGACGTGGATAAAAAAAACCAAGAGCTGCCCCTTGGAACACTTTCATTGTCAATCAAGATCAGTTTTTCTCAGAATATTAGGCATCTCTACCAGTTCAGTCAAATCATACTACATAAAAGAATTCATTACATACCCAATATGTTTCTAACTGCACAAAAGTAGTGTGTGTGTGTGTGTGTGTGTGTGTGTGTGTGTGTGTGTGTGTGTGTGTGTGTGTGTGTGTGTGATTAACCCAATCACCATGATTACCCTTTTATTTAAAAAATAATATTTTTCAGAACAACTTTTTGCTGGAGTAAACACTTCACAGTTCTTTATTCTTACCAATTCCCTTAAGGCAATTTGTCGGTCACAAGTAGCTGCGTACATTCTTTTTCCAGAGGCTGTGCTTTGTAAGGTGGTAATAATCTGCATCTTGAGGTCATTGTTCTCTATCACTTCATGCTCCAGCATTCCACACAGCACCTGTCAAAAATACAAAGTTGGCTATAATAATAATAATAATAATAATAATAATAATAAAAAACTTTATTTAAAGAGGGTAAAACATACTAAGTATATACACTTATCTTCTACATGGTCCTAAAATCAACTTTGCAATCTTCCTAGCTACCAACAGTGATTAACTAATTAAAAACCTATCTTTTGCAAAATTAATACTAAAAAAGACTTTGCTATCTCTCGAGCAATAATCAGGAAAAATTTTTTTCAGATCTAGAATTAGCCACACAATGCATGAAGGTATAATAATAAAAAACAACTAATCTTCAATGCCCTGGGAAATCTCATAAGAAGTGGATTGTCACTAGCAAATTGATTTCACAATTTGATACATATTCCCTGACGAAGGTGACTAGGGCTAGACACTGGAGCATTGGATAAATATGTTTCAGCATAGTTAGACTGGGTTCCCATACCTAGATTGATCTAACAGAATCAGTCCATCTCCAAGGGGTTTCTCGCTAAATTGCTTTCAGCTAAAGCAGCTTAGATGTCTGGCACGCCTACTAAAGCTGCGAAACGATAATTAATACCCTCTAGCTGCTTCAGTAGGTGTGACAGACACGTAAGCTGCTTTAGTTGATTGCAATTTAGCAAGACTCCCCTTGGAGATAGATCGATCCACAGTTAGTACGATAGGCTCTGGGAATGGTCTCTAAGTGTAACATTGATACAAATTGGACCACAACTTGACACTTGAATGCCCAAATTTTTGTTGATCTCAGACGAAATGAAATGCCCAAACAAATATTTTTTTGTTGTCAAGTTTATCTCCAGGGAGTCTGCAGGAACACTTCACACAAAGTTAATTGCAAGCCACTGCCTTTTTTTAATCAAACCCTGGAATATTCTGAAAACAAGGGCAGCTAGAATTTCTGATTCAGAATAAAACATGCTGTGCAAGCAGACAGATTACGTTTTGTGAATCTACTAATCACCTAGCTACAAACAGTGAAGAAACCACACGCACACAGCAGGCCTTTTACTGACATTGCATTTAAGGGAATCTTCTCACATTCTTTTTTCCCCCACTTGACAGGCTATGAATTAATTTAGCTCAGCTGTAATGCTACATTTTAACACCCCAGAAAAAAAATCAAATTGGACTGAAAGAAAGCAGAAAATATGGTATGGGCTGTATTTATTATTACATGCAATCCCTGTAGGATGTCATATTAGAAAGGCAAAATAAAATAAATAAAAACCCTCAAAAAAAAGAAAGAAAAAGGAAAATGTTTCTGGGCTGATATATAATACGGCACTGATATATAAGAATGTGGGGGAATGAAATGAAATGTCTGTGAACTCCACTCAGACCAAAATATCTCTCATGGGTCAAGTGACACCACACAAGTTCTGCTACGCGACTTGTGTGCTTCAGCAAGTTCATTTCAAGACACAATTTAGAATTCAGTTCAGTTTTAAATGCCCTCTTCTCTGTGTTCATACCTGTGTGCGTGTATGAAGATCAAAATAATTGTCAACAACTAATAATCACGGTCTCTTTTGTAACCATCTTGACAGCTAATTGAAAGTCAAGTTGAACTCAGAGCAGGATGTGCCCGACCAAATGTGATGAAGCATATACCCCTTGTATCCACACAGATATCTCTTGTACCACTAATCCACTGACTGCTATTGTCCAGAAAGATCACATATATATATATAGCAAGGATAATTCCTTTCATTTGCACACAAAGAAGAGTTCGTGCTGGTTCAAATCTCAATTTATCGGGTTCAAGAGGCAGCCTATTCACAGGGAGGATAATTATAGCACTTGTTCTACATATCAAGAGCACAGTGGTAACTCCATGCTATTGTCAGCCTCTCAGAGGATTTCACAATGCTTCCAAGATGAAAATAGATCTCCCTATGTCACGAGTTTCCGGGAGGCTCCCATCTGACAATTTAACGAAAATGCTGATGACATTTGAAGCAGCATATGACAACACGCAGGCAATAATGCTGACCTTTTGGATTTTAGCATTAGTTGTTGTTAATGGGTAAGCCAAGAGCAAAACTGTGAATGAACTTATTATACTGTTATATTTCATACTGATTTTGCAAAGCACATTTCCCCTGCTGCTATTACTTCCCTCACCTCTTCACCTCCTATATATGCTTACATAGTCTTAAAATATCATATATTTCAGCAAGTCTTATTCTACTCAGATTCACTTGTTTCAGCAAAAATTGATAAACAAAGAAAGAAAGTAAGAATCTATCTCAAATACAACATTAATTTATACAAATAAATCTGACAAACACCTCATTATACAATTCAGCATTTATTCGCCCAACAAGATTGCTTGGGTCAAATAACCAAACCCACACCAATCAATGGGTTTCTGACAACCTGTCATAGGAATAGCAGTAACACATGCACACCACACAACATTTAAACAGCCACTTCTCATGCTATGATCTTTTCAGATTTCTTCATTATTTGTCTGGATGTATGTGCACAGGTGTTATTTTTCATTGCTGTTTACAAAAGATAATCATATCATCTTCATACCTGTACCCATAAAAACATGTGGAAAGTCTCAAGTCAACATATATATATATATATATATATATATATATATATATATATATATATATATATATATATATATATATATATATATATATATTGCTCATCATAACCTCCAACTTCCCTCACTGCCACTACTTATAAATCAATAAATCACATCAGGTTCTTATATTGGAATTTCTCTCCAGTAAACAACAGTTGTGGTAAAAATTATGCCAGTTATGATGAATTTTAAAAGACAACTGCCTTTTACACAACATAGCTACTGTGACTCAAACCAGCTTCCGATCGTGAGTGCCTGTGCGCAAGACAGCAGAGTTACCACGCAGCCACGACAGCACAAAACAGAGCCACTCAGAAAAAAGTTTGAGGCAAAACAAAAATTACCATTTGGCAGTTTTAGTGGGAACAACAAAATGTGTCAAACAGCTGATGGTATGGGCAGTCATCGGCAGGACAGTGATCAAGATATTCACGGACACATACATACCATACCTTCATTTTGAAAAGTTCTTTCTCCATCAAATCCCTGGTTAAAGACATACATAGTATTTGGTTAAAGCCTTTATCTACCTACCTCCATAGCTGCCTCATTTTCTCTCAGTGACAGCAACATACAAGGGTTGATCATCTTTATAATGCTCACTAGAAACTTTTTCCTCTTGCAGCAACAACAGATCAGGGCCTTCAACTGAAAAAACATTTTTATAATTATTTCTGTTGAATTTATAATACTACACAGCCATACCCAAGGAAACTGTCAGAACTTTAAACTTTTAAGAACTTCTTTCAATAAAAAATTTTCAGCAATAGAATTAAACAAGCTTTTTTAGCAGCAACATTCTCAAAATCAAAATTTTTACAGCTGCCATTTTGTTTTTTTGAAGATGGGCGGGCAGGTGAAAGCAACAGTGCCCCCTGTTATTGACTTTGTTTCTTTCAACCTCCTTCACACTTGACAGCATCCTTTCTGCGTTCTTTGTGCAACCATGAAATTGGCATCGTCGTGGTCACAGAAAGGAAGCACAAGCATCGCTTTGGTTGCACAATGAATGCTAAATGATGGACCAGTTGTCAGCATGTAAAGTGTTATCTTTCAAACCTCAAATAAAACTACAGGATGCAGAAAGGATGCCATCCAGTGTAAAAGGGGGCTTTACCATTGTTCCAAAAAGTTCCCCTTCATCTTCGCAGGCCATGTTGCCAGGGCAGTAGAGGTGGAACCATCCTTCCTTGCCTTCTCTTATCCCCAACAGAGACTGGTGAACCTCACAGCGACTGTCCAGCGCAAACTGTCTCAGCACAGGACACATGTGACTGGAACAGAGAGACATTTCACTCTTCAGAGCTCTGGTGGAAAATTTTTGATGCATATTTTTTCAATATAGAAGCTGAATAATTCATGATCATGTTATTAAAAGTAAGCCTGTTTTAAAGGAAGGGAGAGGATTTTTTTTTTTTACAAAAAAAGTGGACCTTTTTAGCCCCTTAACTGAACCAAGTTCAGAATCCAGATCAAATATGATTCATAAATGAGAATTTCCAGTCAAAAACACAGTTCTTTTGTACCCTCTGAACTCCTCTTGCTTACAAAGCCCGATGTCTCTCATAATTTCATTACAAAATGACGATTCTGGCAACTCTTGAGTCAGGGTTCACGGGAGTAGCAGTGAAATTAATGATTTTGTTACAAAGCATCTGGGTTCACTTATACGTGGCATCCATGTGAATATTGCTGTCAAATAATAAAATTTGCCATTCGATCAATTTGCATGGTCAAATTAATGTCAAATTAAGATGTACTGTATCGTATAACCACAATCAATTAAGAGTATATGCACTCGGCGCCTTGCATTAACTTGATGCTTTTAATAAGTAGCCCAGACTCCCAGATGACACAACATAATCATCAACATGGGGATTTTATGTTCATTATCAGATCACTGAGGAAATGTGCTCAGTCTGCTTAGTCCAGAAGTGTTGAACAAGGAGTCAAACCGTACACCTCTTGCTTTCAGCCTCGAGTCATGTAACTACCTAATATATATTCAGTAAGAATATGCATCAAAGAGAGACTTTCAGGGAACTCTTTTTTGTTGTTGTTTAAACACAATGTTTGAGTGAAACTGTTGCACATCAAAACAAAGTGACTCATTTCCACCAAGTGCGATCACAGAACAATGACCTCCACCCCCCCCCCCCCCCCCCGGCCCTCTCACCTGCACTCTCACTATCCATTGAACTTATCACTAGCTTTGATCTAAAAGACATCTTTCATGATAATTCCCTTTCAAGCCTACCAGGATTAGCACAGATCATAGGCCTTTTGTTCAAGTGCAATTGAATATTTTACACTAAGTTGAGAGCTTAGAGTGATTGCATTGTAGTCTTCATATGACACTTTTTGTTGGTGTATGTATGGTGGTGCATAAGAAACACAGGTAGTATCTAAATCAGACTAATTACTTATTTTTCGGGAAACAGCTTTGAAGCAATTTCAAAGTACAAAAGCTCTACCTCCACATTTTGAATGTCTAAGTGAAATTGGGAGATACCTGTATTATCATTGAAGCAAGTGCTTTTGAGAATCGCTTCAAAGCTCGTATGCTTTACTAAGCCCTTCCCCCTTTTGTTTTTATTAATCCAACTAAAAAAATCTACCAGCTTTGCAAACTCCTTCATGGCATGTTAAAAACTAGCTTTATAACCAATAGAGGCAATAGAGGCAAGTGGTGTTGACATTAGAATATAAAAACAATCCAATAGTTCTGGGAAATTTTATTCAACGGTACCAACATCACATTTCAACATGCCGAAAAACACAGAGGTAATAAGTAACTATGGTAATTGCTTGGTCCATTTGGTTTCATAAATCCTGTCCCAAATAATGACTTGTTGTTTTTGAAATGCTGATTTTATAGTTCTGAAAAGTTTAAGTTGGCTTCATGTCAGAAAATGCATTGTGGTGCTTGCCTGAAAATAAAAAAAAATTCTGAAAAATTAAGATATTAGAAAAAGTGTGCCATTAAAAAATTTTAATTACCACATAATCTTGAGATGTCCTTAAGAAACCTCAAGATTACACAACTGTCTGATGAATCCCACTATTGTATGCAAATCAAACTAGTAAAAACCCGTACCCATTTTGAAAGGTGAGGAAATCATTGTCTATAACCTTTATAGCTGCAATAACATTGTGTCGAAAACTTCCATCTGGGGACCCAAGAATCAACTTAAAACAAAGTCAACTTATTGGTGTAGGTGAAAGATGGGCCATTTACCTCCTACAATAGCAAGCTATTTGTAAAAATTATAAAGCTGGCTGGTTCTGTCCCAAGGCATGGAGCTAGAAAATGGATCCTTTGTCAAATGTGATGATAACAACAATAACCATCCTCCCCCCCTCCCCTGACTGCGTGTCAGCTCATTCCACATCAAAACTTCTGATAATATTACGACATCGCAGCATTCGGTTTCTTTGCACGAAACAAAAATACCAAAAAGCTTGTCATTATAACACCAAAATCTAATTTTCCATCTTTCTTTTTTTATACTTACACTGTGAAGACTTCATCAGCAAGGGCACTGAAAAGAAAAAAGGAGAATCTTGTATAATCATGCTTTATCACTCTCTCTGTAATTAGGTTTGCAAAAGAAAACATGTTTTAAGCCTGCAGAGAGAGTAAAATGGAACTTGGAAGCCTATTTCACATAAAATCTTCAGTTTTCAAATTTGTCCACTGTTAGCCTGCTGTTGTGAAAGTGGCCTCAGACCTTTAATTCATCTGCAAAATGGGCCAATGACACCTCGACTTCATCCAAACAAATTACTACTACCCAGAAAATCAGCCAGTAATATTTGAAAAAGATAGCACAGAAAAACAATATCCTTAAAACATATGATACTTAGAAATAATCCTTCAATACATATGCCAAAAATTACAATTAACAGTCCCAGTCCAGAGTGCTCACTATCAATAACAATGATCTACACAAAAAGATCATGGTCATTTTGCCAATGAGGAGGGTAAGAACACAGTAGTAATCTAAAATCCTAATCACCTTGTTAACAGGATAATCACCACATGCTCTTAAAACCCTTTCTTGCTTTGTCCAAGAAGAAACAGGAATGAAGATAATAAGTTGACGTCATGACAATAACTTAGAGACAAATAAAAAAAAAGGTCAGGTTCCAATCATGTAATATTTCACAGCAGGAAAGAGTATGAAGAATCAGGTTTAATTCTCTCTTATAATTTTTTTAATGAGTAAAGATGTACTTGGCTTCTATAAAAATCAGACCACAAATAAAGGGTAAAAAATTAATTTGGATTTGGGTTATCCACAAAAAGTGGAGGCAAGTCAGTGATGCAGACATTTTTGTCACATTTTCATAACTGCTTCTCTAAGGCACGTCAGTGACACAGACATTTTGAGATTCTCTGAGGCATGTTAGTGATGCAGACAATTTTTGCTCATAACCGTTTTAAAGTGGCTTTTTCAAGTCTGTAACCACAGGGGGATTTGGAGAGTTTGAAAGAACCCCCATTTTGTATCCAGAAAAGGTTCCCTCTAGACAAAATTTTATCTAGGTACATGTAGGTTTCCTGGTAAAAGATCCACTTTTTTCAGAAAAAGAACCACTCTTTAGAAATGGCTGGCTTTGGGCCTGTTTTTAATTACTATCACAGTTGAAATCCTTGCACACTGGAATGTATAGAACAGAAAATAATGGAGCAAGTCGGAATTACGCAAACATTACACAAAACCCGTGTCAATGACACTTCTTAATTCTGAGATAAGCCCTCATTACTGTCTTAAATTCCTCGAACTTTTAAATTTTTGATGATCTCCTGGTATCATGTGCTTTAAGAGGATAACCAACTATATCTTCAATAAACCAAGCATGCTTTTGAAATTAATGGAATTATTGGTATACACACATATTTCTCCAGACTGAAGGGGTGGGACCTAAAAAAATCAGAAGCCATCAGGATTGATACTTGAGAAATACATCGTTATTATACTTTGTACTGATATAAAATCAATACCTGGTGCAATTTTTTGCAAACTCTAATGTAATGTATCGACATCAATTCACATGCCTGTATACATAAGATCATTCTTAATTTGTTTTCAAATGTCTAATTTTCCTTCTTTTTTCTAATTAAACATATAGCAACAAAAAACAAGGTGTATGCATACTTAAACATCAGGTTCTATTGGGTTCCCAGAGGATTTAGACAAAAAATTATGGGCAATTGGACATCAAAACAAATAAATCATCATAATAGCTTGTGTCAATTTTACTGTTCGTATGCATCTTCCTTTTTTTTTATTTATTCCATTTATTTTTATGTAATTTTTTTTATGTGTCAAACCATTAACAACACTATTAAAATGACAATCAATTAACCATTTATGTATAATTTCTTATCTCTTTACAATGCATAATGGGGCAGGTTTTTACATCCAATAACTTCTTTAAATGATGATAATGATAATAATTTGTTTCATATGTAATTGTGTATTTTACTTACTCGTCTGGAAATGGTATAGGTTGCAGAAAACTAGCCAAATTGGGTCTCCAGTCTTCAAACTCTGACCTGTAGAAATAATATTCAAACATCAGTAGAATAAAATTAAAGGAATGTCAAATCACTATCATAAATCAAACACTTTGAAATTGAAAATATTAATTACCCAAAGGATAATTCTGTAATTCAAAATAAAAACATTTCCACAAGAAACAATTCACAGTTTCAGGTATATTTTCTGTGCACTAACTGTTATATACATCAATTTCCAAGAATCAAGGATCCAAGGTAATGACATTCCCAAGAATCTGCATAATAGTAAGGTATAACAAGGTTTAAATAATAGGTGTCCATAATATCTAAGCACACAGGAAATATCACATTTTCTAGCTCAGTAGGATCATATTTTTTTGATCCTACAAATGAAGTATTGGCGTCACTAATGGAGTAATTCACATAAAAGATGGTATTTCCTGCTATTTCAATTGAATAAATTGTTCTTCAATTTTTTTCCACATTGAAAACATGCATTTTGTCACGTATTCAGACTAAAGGGGCGGGTCCTAAAAAAAACAGGATCCAGCTAGGACTGATATTTGAGAAATACATTAATACTTTTCACTGATATAAAATCAATATCTGGCAATTTTTTTTGCAAACTCAAATGTTACAGTAACATTAAATCATATGCTTGTATACATATGATCATTCTTAATTTGTTTTCAATTGTCAAATTTTCCTTCTTTGTGTGTCCCTATTCTTTAGGCTGTTATAGCTTGCAAGAAGAATATAAATATACATCAGGTAAACCTTCCGACTTCATATAGATAGACAATTTATTCCAACATGAGCAGAAAGTACAAAGTGTTTTTACAAGCCCATAATATACATAATACACAATCAGCGTAACAAAAAAAAAAAAAGAAATTCAAGTTGGTCGAGTCAATATGGCCTTTATATATATGTTAATAAAACAACAACATAATGTTAGCATTAGGAAAATAAACAGCTTAACAGCATATATCAAATGACACACATCGTGTGTAGGCCCGCCTCTCCAAAGATTTTCTACCGAGCTAAAATCTAACGTAGGATATTCCTTGCGTATAGAGCTTGCCACAGGACATGTAATGTATAGATGTTATGGCAACTTACATGGTCTCTAGAATGGCAAGGTAACAGGTTAGGCGGTCATGTATCTCAGTCATGATGTAGCTGCTGATGCTGTTATTATTGAGCATAAATCTGAAATGTCAAGGAAATAAAGCATTTATCAATGGCGCTGTGATAATCTGTATTCCTAAATGACAACTCCAGTGAAATAGCCAAGAACAGACAAACTCTCAATGATATATTCCTAGCATGTTGCGTTGTTGATAATCAAAATTATTTTCCATCCAGAATGACTAAATCATGTTAAATCATTATGAAACCTGTCGAGTAATTTTTTTTTTTTCGCTCAATATTCTTCATTTTACACCTAGACTGAAGAATGTTATAAAATAAACAGGGCACTAAATTAAAGAATTAGGAGATCTGGAATTTGTGCCTTCCTATAATTAAATTCTATTTTTATTTTCTGTCCTGAGAAACATCTCAAGCTTCCACTTAATATTAGCACTGTTCTTTGACAAATACCACATTTGCTTTGCTAATCCCCATCAATGGTTAATCACTGTCACTTTTACAATGTGCAAGACTTGGATTTTTTTTTTTTTTTGCCTGTACAATGATGAATTTCTGACCTTTTTTTTAAACATCCTTTTATTGAGAACCTGAAGGTCACAGCAATCACAATAAAACAAACAATAATAAAAATTCCTCATCATAACATGTTCTGATATTTCATACTTTTCCATTGACAATTCAAATGCCAACTTAACATTGGAAACAAGCCAGAATTCCTCCAACAATACATAAAACCACTGAGAATGATCTCGCAACACTGAGGTCTCAGCTAAGGGCTAACAAAGCCACAGGCTTGCCCTTTCATCTGATCTAACCGCAGGCATACTTCATAAACAATGAATTTTATGAATAAATGAAAACAGTAGCTGAAATTGTAGATGAAGTACAAAGATGGAGGTTAAATGACTTACGTTTTTCTGTCTTCGTAGCATCCATAGATGGCAGCAAAACAGACAGCCACCAAGTTGGGCAGCACTCTGGGATGTGGACATACACTGGTTGGACCATGCATACTGAAATATATATTATTATATAGACTATCTTAACTATTACACATACTGGATAGGAAAATGTGTGCATGCAATATCAGCAAAGCCTGTCTTGCATATCAGCACCATCTAGAGACCAACTAGACAGGTTGGAAATCAACAAGTTAAGCTGCACCATAGAGTGTATTCCCAGAGATTTAGATCGATCCATCTGGATCGACCTAACTCCCTGGGGGTTCACGCTAAATTAATTAGCCCCTTCCAGCTTTTAGTAGGCGGGACAGACATTTAAGCTGGTTAAGCTGACACCAATCTAGTGAGACTCCCCAGGGGGATAGACCGATCTAAATACCTATGGGAATGGGGTCATAGTGCTGCCTATTGTAGTGAATATGGTCAAAATGAGAACTATTAGTATTAAGTAAGTAAAATTGTTTATTTTTCCACACAAATGAGACCTATAGCACCAAAGCAAAATTGTTAAAACCTTAATTAATTTTTTTATCCATGAATAAGAAGTGGCCATTCCTTATATTTCTACAGGCCTTTGAAAACATATCTATAAACTGTCTTTTTAGAGAAAACTTCATGAAAAGTTGATTAAATATCTATAAAAAGTTTTTTAATACTTACGTTTTCACAAAATTCTTTACCACTCGGATTCCGTCATTCTGTGAGCTCAAGGCCTGAATATACTCTGTGATGAAGGCTCTAGAGCGTGGATGCTTTCCAAAGTCCTTAAAAATCAATTATTTCAACAAAATAAATACATATTCTCAATTATTTAAATGCTTGGTTTGATCCCACATGTAAACTTTTAAAAAAATCGTGCCAATGGGAAATGATAACTGAACCAAATTGAACTTTTGAGTCAATAAAAAATTATGAGTGACAAAATGAGATTTATTATTCTTTAAAATCCATTTCATGACCCCTTCAATGATCTGAATACTTTCTTAAGTAATGCATGGATCTAAGCACATTTTCTCTGCCCGTTTTGCTTTGGCACCTTGAAACTCAATGTCTCTGATCAAATGGAGTCTTCTGAATAAAATTATTTCTGATGCAGTCACAAAAATACAGAAAACAGACTACAATCATGTAGTCTGAGAAGAAACAACACTATGACTTCTACAACCCCATTAACAATGCCATTAAGCATACATATAACACAACTTCTAAAAGTCAATAATCAATTAAATATTATAAATCCCTTAAAATGACAATTAATTTTTGGAATGAAAAACCGTGTAGGTATCTCACACAGCCTTTTTCTTCATATATGTTTCTAGCACCTTAAACAAAAATATTCAGCCAGTCTTGTGGAAAATGACATTAATTTTGTCTTTAGAACAGAGAAATTTATCAAGGATTCACGGTAAGGCATAAAAAACATTAATGGTTAATTTCTATCCTTTTATGTACTGCTGTAAATGCGGAGAGAGAGAGAGAGAGAGAGAGAGAGAGAGAGAGAGAGAGAGAGAGAGAGAGAGAGAGAGAGCATGTGCATAAGTGTGTGTGTGCAATTCACAGGTTTAAAAATGTTTATTGTTAGATCGTATTTTTTTTTTTTTGGGGTATGGAATAAATAATTAATATAATGAGATGGAAAACACATCCTATGAATCACAATGAGATACATAAAGAACATCCTGTCACACTTGGTTACCCAAAGCTAAATTGGCCTTTGTAACCCCTTTGGTTTGTTAATTTCAGCAAACATTACCATCGCTCTGTAGCAGCATTTTCTGCCATTCATAAAAAAATCGTGTATTAATCTTTTATGACTTGCTATGAAACAAACTGATGCACCGTTTTTACTCATTTTCCATAGCTACACAAAGCTTTGAAAACTGCACAACCAGCTGCTCTTGTGACATGTACATTTTCTCTCTTAAAAGGCTACTTTTAGCCAGCAAGTACTTTTGTGAGAGCATTAAAGGAAATTAAACCTATATATAATGTATGACTCTATTTCATTGTTCATTCGTACGTGATGAGAGCAGTATTGTGGTTTTGATTTCTATACCAGCATCTCTACTCTGTACATCCTCTATGATTTCAATGCATGATTAAAAAATTATGTCCCATTATTTTGTTCTGACTGCATGCGTCATATTTATCAGTACAATGACATTAGGTGAAGGATGAACATGAAATAAACATCTGTCCTAGCTGTACATTCGGCTTGTGTAGTTTCTATTCAGGCCTGTAGGGGGAGGGGGGGATGGTTAGAAAAAACACCCTTGTTTCAGGTTTCATGGTAAAAGGTCCGCTTTTTCAGAAAAAGAACGCTCCTTTTGAAATTGCTGTCTACGGGCCTGCTATTGCTTACAACTGTAACAAACCCCAGTCTACCCAGTGACTACCTTATCGATTGTTTAATTTCACAGGCTTATTTTTTAATCAATTAAGTCTTGCAAAAAATGATTAATTAAACCAATCATGGCCTAAGTAAAAAGTCTTGTTATTTATATTTATGTGCAAAGAACCCAAATAGGATTTGGTTTAGTTTTAAGTTTTTGTACCGAGACTTTTTAGGCCTGCAGAATCCTTACATTCTGTTTCAACCACTTACCATATTGTGTTTTAAAATCCTATGCACCACTGGCGTGAAGAGTTCAATGACAATTTTTGATCTTGGACTGTTACGACAATGCTGGAATATAAAGCAACCATATATCACCATTATAATGCACAGATGTGGCAGTTAGTTTTGGTTTTAGCACATTTTTCCAAGAAAGCTGATGAAGGTCTAATGGCCTTTTTTGAAAACAATAAACTGCAATATCATAAAATCAAATATAGTCTTTTCAGTTTTCAAATTATTATATGATTTTATTGTGCTTTAAAAAAATTTATAAAAGTTCATTTTTTCCATTTATTCACCGACTAAATTAACTTTATTTCATTAACACATAAAATAAATATAATTACACAATGGTTTATATAACATTTCATTCATTGAAATACTCTTTGAACAAACAATACCAAGCAGGGAGTATTCTTACAATTATCATTCCTCTTAACTAACAGAAGGCGCCACAAGACAAGCCCCTCCCCCTACCTTTGAGAAAAAGTCACAGATTTCCTGGGTGGGGTGGTTCTTCTCCAACAATGGAGCTATGGCAACAATGATGTTCTCGTGTTCAATTTTTGACAGAAATTCTTCGTTCTGAAAAATCAAAGCATATTCATTGTGTGACCACAGGCGTAACAGCAGGTGACTGTTAGTGAAATTGAAATTTTGATGAAATGAAAGAAAACATGTTTGGCAATATGAAAAAAATAAGTGATTTCTTTTTTAGATTACATGACACTGCATAAGAACATTTAAAACGAAAAAAGAAAGAAAAATCCTTCTCATCAGGATCTTTACTAATTTAATCCTGCCGACAGATTAACATCAGCATAGTAGATTTTAGCCAAGGGTTAAATACATTATTACATGACAAATAAAAATAAAAAGCATTTTATCATTTTCTGCCAAATTCATCATTCAGTGCAACATTTACATTTGGCTAAAACCAACAGTTTATTTGACTAAAAGGATATTAAACCTTTTTTTTTATGCTGGACTGAGCCCAGAAAACTCTTTTGAGATAAAAAGCACCAAGAGAGCCAAGAGGCATCTATAGTGAGTGAGGCCATGGGTAATGGCTGTAGTCGATGGCTCTTGGAAAAAGCTTTTGTGTCGTGAGCTTCAGCTTTTTTTTATGAAAAATGTCAACAGTGATATGGAAGCCATGGGTAATGGCTGTGCTCGAGCTCTTGGAAAAAGCTTTCACAAATTTGTGTCGTGAGCTTCAGCTTTTACTTTTATTTTACAGAAATGTCAACAGTTCCTGACCTGCTGCAGTATTTCAGACACCAGCTCCAGGGGAAACTGATACACACTTGTGTCATGAATGGGCGTAGACAAGGAGTAGTCAACCATGCTCTGAAATTACAGAAATACAATCTTACATTCGATTCATTTTTTAAAACTTTTGGATAACTGATGACAGTAATTTCTATTTGTGGAAAAAAAATAAATAAAAATACCATTCCTAGGCCATGTAGAGGTTTATATTTCTTTTTAATAGTCAAGGTCATTTTGGTTGACTCAATTCAACCTTGATGCCCAACGGAAATCCAGCACCTTGCTGCGTCTACTCAAGTAAATTAAACACCTTGCTACTTGATTAATGTTGTAGCATTAAGTTAATTTTGTCCCTTCCAGATCAAATTCTAGAAGCAACATTAAAAACATTACATTAATTATATATTGATATGTGAATTCAAATGTTCAGATTTTCAGAGAAATCTAAGAGAAAGCTTAAAGATGTATCAATTTTACATAAAAGCAACAAAGCAAACCAAAAACTAACAGGATTAAATGTTGGTATTGTCCAATAAAGATAATGAACTGCCAAAGCATCCAGAATTTGAAACTAACAATAATGCCCACCTTGATTTCTTTTACTAACACTTCAGGGCGTCTTGAATTCTTCAACAATTTTTCATACTTGTATATGTGACGCTGTAACAGAAAGCATATCCACCATAATTACTAAGTTCCATTATACTAAAAACAAAACAAAACAAAAAAAAATCATGAAGGATGAATTGCCTATAACAATTCTGTTTTAAATGGTACTTAAAAATGCATTTCGTAATAAATACACCACAACAGTGAAGAATCATTTTACAAATGCTCCTGCAATGGCAATACTGATAAAAGCTTTTAAATTGGTTAACGTCAGACACAGTTACCATTATGACTTGCACCTGATACAAAGAAAATCAATGACATGTTACAGCATATTAACCAGATAGGATTGAAAAATTGACAAAAGAACTAGAGCAATAAAAATGAAACTGTGCTGGTTAATTTCTAGCTGGTGCTACAACTGTTTTTTTTTTTTTTTTTTTTTTTTTTTTGAAACGACATTTTTATAAAAATTTGATTCATGCGCAAAATCACCATTCAAATGACCAAGGTTCACAGATGGTGGACTAAGGCGTCAGGTTTGACTGATTGATGTTGTCTGGTCTCTAGGTAAGGACTTATTCTGTTTTACCAATAAATTTGTCCTCCAATCCTAAAGCTATACTCAAAATCAGTGACTGAACCAACATATTCCACCGTGTTTATTGAAATCTTCATATCATAACAGCATGGCTAAAAACAGCTGTTCAAATAAAATGTTCAGTGTGGGATATATCAAAAATCTAGAATTTGTTTTTCATCAATATACACTTTCTGTTAGAACCTCTTAAGATTTATTTCAGAGTTTCATGCATGCTGCTGCCATATACTGTGAATTACTGTGAGTAATGTTGTACTACCAGATGTAAAGCCATTTCATAAGTGCATGTGTTTCAAGCCAAAAATTTGACATTAAAAAAATTTGCATATGATGACCCGTGGTATGCAATTGAATGCTCGAGTTTCTTTTTCTTTGTGTGTGAATAGACCACTCTAAAATCCAAACACCTGGACCTCTTTCACTCACCTTCCATAAAATTGAATAAAGCCACTGGTCTCTCAAATATGCATTGTTGGCCTGAAAAAAATGCAAAGAATTTATCAATGTATCACTGACAACAGTTAATTAAGTACACATGTATGGACTTCAACTAGGGGATTACATACACATTTATACAAATTATTCAAATGATACCATCTTTCTCTGTCATTCCTTTCCACAGATCTTAATCCAGTATTGTTCAACTTATTCAGGTAACATTTAAGATCATAATTACGACGAGGAAACGACTCCAAGATTCACTCCATGATGTCGTTCCTCAGGCTGCATCACACAGATCTTTATATCCTCATCTTTTCTCTCAAAAGGTTGTTTAAATTATGCTGCCACTCATAGAAGAGCGATTAATTATTCCAATCACAGTAGACAACTTTTGGCACATATACAGCATTTCTGGAGTTCACAATCAATAGAAACTGTTAATAAAATATGCTTGCAGTATCTGAGCCTGCTGGGTCCCTATCCTTAGATCAGGTTTGTTCTGCCTGGGGGGTCCAGTTCTTTTTTTAAGCCGCATTCAGAACACTGGACTAACTAATCTGTGGATCAAATATGGCTGACCCACTTGAATACTTCCCCCTGGGGAATCTATTCAGTGTCTATTAGTTCCAGGATTTGTAAAGCCATGGCTCAACTCAATGTGAATGCGATCTTAGTGACCTTACAAACCACATTTTTTGTCACTTCAAGCCGAGTGACTTAAATGACTCAATCATACCAATGATATCTTTCCTTAGATAACGATTGATCTGGATGGGAGGGAAAGTCCCACAAAAGAACTTCTGTCTAAGAAATTTGTCCGAACTGTAAGGCCAGAAATTAGGTCCACTTAGTTCAAAATAAGTTTATAGTAGTGCACTTATATAAAAAAAGGTCTAAAATGCCTTTTTTTTTTGTTGTTCTAAAGCAGGCACTTTTTCATTTTATTTGACTACTAGTAAGTTCTACAACTGTTGTATCGTTTTATTTGACTAGTAAGTTCTACTACTGTTGTGTCAATTTAAGCAGACTGAAAAAAAAAGTGTTTTTCACATATTACACATTAAAATACTGCATACCATTAGGTGTCAGACCTTTAAATATGTAATTCAAAATGTATATCTATAACACAGATATTCTAGGGCATGAAAACCAGAGAAAAGGGGTTCTTTGACTATATGACTTCACTAGGGCTCAATTATTTTTTTTTAACCACAATAACTTGCTTAATATTCCATTGTACTCAAATTATCAAACTCAATCAAGGACAAAATGGCCAAATGATTAAGATACATTTTTATTTATTTATTTATCTATCCATTATTATCATTTTATTTTATATACTTATTTATCGATTTATTTAATTATCTAATTTAATGAATGTATGCTTTTTTTTCTATTTTATTTTATTTATTTTATTTATTTATTTATCATTATTATTTACTTATTTATTTTTTGGATCACACGAACCCAGCTGACCCCGATTCGTGCCTCTATCCTCTCACCATCAGCAATAATATGCACTACAAATCACGAGCTCCACGCCACATGCTAGAAATTGAGATTAACGGCTATTTTCTCTGATTCCCAGCTTCTTCAAAGTGCTAGGTTAGAGGCAAGCTCATACACAGGAAGGAAACATATTGATTTCTGAGGAATTTTCTTAGAAACGCTTTCTTATGGTCCCCAGTGGTGTTGGTATGGCACATTTCATATCGGGGCGTACATTTGTAAATGAGAGGCAACTGATAATGGGTCTCGTAGATGGGTTTTTATAGCATACATTCAGGGATTCTCCGATGAATATCATGACATCCATCTGTTTTAAGTGACTGATGAAAATAAAAACTTTGTGAAGTTATCTCTTCTTATTTACCCTGGGGTAGTGCTAACACTCGCCAATTTAGCCAAATGCTTAAACTGACTTAAATTGGCTTTAAACAAAAAGGGCTTGATTTGACTTCTTTTAGTCAAATTATAACCATCTAGATAACAAATAGACAAAAAGTGGTGATTTGGCTAAATTTACTAGTTCCACCCCAGTTACCTATCAAGTTTTTGTGGAATGGAAGTGAAACCCTTACTCCCCCCTTTCTTTTTTCATCAAGGAAAGAACTATGGAAGATGTTTTATCTTATATAATAAATATCCAAGCAAAGCCTTGATTTATAATTAAATAAGACAGTAATTTCATATCCTACCTCACTCTACTATTAGGATACATACATGTCATTCAATGCTTTTGGAAACTCAACAAAAAATGCAAGTAAACAATACCTGTAAAAGTAATGATCCATCCGCTATTGTTATCCTTAAGCAAAATTTTTGACCTGCATCCCATCTTGAAATAATGTTGACCTCTTCAACACTGGAGTATGAAACTGGGTGTTCTAGGAAACCAGTCGGCTGAAAAATAAAGATATTTACAAAATGTACGAAAAATTCTTCCTGAATTCAGATCAGCAATTTTAGGGCTGATTAGTCATTTTTTTTTTCATCACACATGCAGTGCACCCAAGGTTTATTTCACTCCTTTTTATCTTAGAGCACATTTGGAACAGTAGACTAACAGATCTGCGAATCAAATATGGTGTCCCACTAACTGAATAGATTCCCCGCAGAGATTACGCAACATGGGTTGGCCATATTTGATCCGCGGATCAGTAAGTACTTAGTACACTGTTCTGGATGCACTCTTACAACACATTTCTAACCATTCCTGATATAACATTACAAATGGATAGATCTTCTTTTGAATTGGATGCCCTTGGAAATAAGACAACAGAGTCTGAGTAATAAGACCGCCAAAAACCAGTTTCTTAAAGTTCAATGTCACCTTGGTTATTTTTTCCAATTCAAAACAATATATTCACAACTGAATGTACTTTACAGATCTTTTTTTTTTATTTTTCAATTTTTGACTGTTTTAAAATTACTTGCCAGCTGTTTCACCTGAACCATTTAAAATATCGATGGGTTTTAACATAGTGTATAAAGTTTTAATGCTTATCAACAACAGACTATGCTTAATTTAAAGCAAAAATTACTGCACTTTTATTGTCTTAAAATGTTTGATTAAGCTGTACTGTAACTGGTGACTGTCACAATGACTAACAGTGCATTCCCATAGATTTAGATCGATCCATCTAGATCGACCTAACTCCCTGGGGGTTCACGCTTAATTGCTGTCAGCCGAGCGCGCATGGTAGTTAATTACCTCCTTACAGCTTTTAGTAGGCAGGACAGACATTTAAGCCGGCTAAGCTGACAGTAATCTAGTGAGACTCCCCACAGGGATAGATCAATTAAAAATCTGTGGGAATGGGGTCTAGAACAGGGTCAGACGGATGTAGGCCGTCTTCTGGGTCTTTCAGAAGATGCTCAGAATTTTTTAATTTTACATTGACAAGCATCTAATTTTTTTCTGTCGGAAGCCAGTCAAAAATGGAGGATGGATCAACAAAGATAATTTGGAAGACTGTCAGAAAATATCTCTGGATCTGCCTCTGTATAATCATGCAATGTTGAGTAACAGAAAAGTACAGATAATGACACTGAAATTGGTTTTAAAATTACATCTGCTAAAACAATCACATGTAACATTATGTCATAGGTTTTTTAATAATATATGTGTTTGTATGCCCATTTTGGTCAAATAATTATTTTCTTTACTAATATCATTGGAATATATAGATCATTCTAGTCCTTGCAATAGATAATATAAAGTTCTACAGAATTATGGTTTTTCACTATTATCATTCATGCACAGATGCTCAATTTTGGTGCTATATGCTAAAACAATTTTGGTGTTCTATTATCATTCTCACAGCCATATTATATACTGTTTAAAACAATTGTCTTTTTGCCATCCGCATTAACTTCCGCGATCAATACCACATTAGTCTATGTGCTGTACATGTGAAAAAAAAATGTATTTTTATGATCAGCATCAACATCATCACTTCGGCCCATTACATAGTACGTATACTATTAACAGTATTTATATGCAGTTGATGGAATAAACTACTCATTCTTATGAAGGTCACACTCAAAGAGTCAACTCCTAAGAAATACAGATTTACAAATATGGTTTAATTGGGTCTCTAGGAAATGATGCTTGTGACAGCAGAAATCCATACTGTCTAATTTTTTATAACAAATAGTTCTCATCTAAAATTAAATTTGGAAAACTAAAAAGGACAACATATTCCAGAAATAATTTCTTGAAGACAAGCGTATAAAATTAGGTTAAGTTGACACTGAACATAAAGAGAAAAGTATGAATTTTAAGGTACCACTTATCCTCCCACACCCACTGCCAACACCAGAGACTACGTACCTTGGTTTACGAAAGCATGCGACTGTGCATGCTCACATACTAGTATTCATTTATAGTAGCAAGTATACTGGTTGAATGGAAAGTGCATCATTGAAGTTATCTGGCATAATCGGGATTGTTAAGGAATCAGTCATTGTCTGGGGGTAGCTGGTGCGGAGAAGACGAGATTCTCCTATATGGCAAGAGGAGGAGTTATCAATTGATTTTTTTATTGAATTTATCACTTGCAAAGAAATTAAGGCCCTGGAATAAGATGAGTAAAATAAGGGTGTGTTAACAGACTCAGGAGTAGCAGGTAGGGTGCCATGTTGTTTTTTTTTAATCGTAAGGCTCAGACGACGTATAGGTGATAGGCAATAGGGCGTTGTTGGTCGGCCATCTGTATTTACTACAGTAAGTACATTTGTATCTTACATGGAGTTTAAATGAATATGTTGTCACACACAAATGTAGTATGTGATGGATGGTCTACCTGTAAGCAGTACATTTGACTAGAAGCAGTCTCTACTGTACATAAGAAATATCTGCATCCAATTACAATTGCTGGTATTATGCAAAAGAAAAAAATTCTTCATTTTAAACTAGAAACCGCAGACAACAAGAAAGATCACACAACAAAATGTAATACATGTAATACAAGAACAACCTTCAGTACTACTTAGACCTAAGTGGTTTTACATGCTTCAGTAAAGACTTCTCTACTAAGAATATAACACAGCCAGACTTGTTCAGTTTTGAAGATCAACACCGTCTTGCAGCTGTTTATGGCTTCGTTCCCAGTGGTTTCTTCCAGACCAAATCTGTGACACGAACCTACCTTTATTGCACTCAAGCCAGTGTGCACACAGCATAAGTACTATAATAACTTCATCAGTCCTCATATGAGTCAAGCAAGGTAACTCCTAATGAAAGTGTCAGTTCTCCCATATCTACAGACATATTACCTTTTACAATATTATCATGACACCAACAGGCTCGGTCTCAACAAAAAAGTTCAAGAAGGCAAGTGCTAGGTTAAAAACAACTTTCCCCTTCTTTGCAATCCCAGAATTTATGACGTTTAGGATACATTATCAATCTAACTCAGGATAAGTTCGCTAGGTGCACAAGTTCTGTCAGACAAAGTTCAAATCTGAACTGTTGAATTTGACATCACTGGTAGACACAGTTGCCAGTTCAGCAACAGGCCACATTTTCCACAGCTGCCTTCCTTTCAAAACGATAAAGAACTGTTATGAAACAGGCAGAGTATTTCATTTAATTGAACAACCACTTTATAAATCTTCTGCCTAAGGAAACAAAAATGTTAACCTGTAAGTTAAGGTAGATTGATGTATTAGGATCTCTTACATTATCTGCTAAAGCCCCCTTTACACTGGACAGCATCCTTTCTGCATCCCGCAGTATGGCCCCATCTGGTAGTAAAAAAAAAAAAACTGGCCGCCAACTGGCCAATCATTGAGCATTCATTCCGTAACCTTAGTGATGTTTGTGCCTCATTTCTATGACCACAGTTTTACGGTCGCACAAAGGAAGTAGAAAGGACGCCCCCTGCTTAAATATACAGATGAGTTACCATACAGATCAGTTTTTGGGTTATGCTTCTCTTGTGAAACAAGCCTAACTTCTACATTTAACATTAATTAGATGACAGCTTTTAAGCATGGTAGGGTTTGAAAACAGAGAAACTGACACACAAAGAGACTGAAGTTTAGGATAACATCAGAGGCTTGCTTGCACAAGCCAAGTACATGAAACCGATGACAAGTACACGTTCTATCATTGCTGTAGCTACGGACACTAACAGTGAAACACATCACATCCTCCTTGCAGCAGTGTACAAGTTAACAAGGAGCAAATCCTTTATTGCCGTTACTATAAATTCCCAATGCATTAATCAATACTTGTTTGAAGTACATTACACAGTACACTAGGTGTACAAAGCACTGAGGTTGCTCTGCTTTATAAATGTTCCTTTTCTTAACTTAATTTAATATAAATATTATTTTTCCTGATTAAAATACCTTATTGAATTTAACCCAGCCAATGAGTTTTTCTTGACTGGCAATTAGAAGTTAAGGGTGGGAGATCAGGAATTCATACTAATTATAAAAAAAAGTCCTAGTATCCTGACAAACAATTATGACTGAAACAATTATATAACATAAAGAATATTTTTAATTGTTTTATATACCTTTTAAAGCAATGACAATGTATAAAGTATGAAGCCCAGAAACAAACATCTGCAGGTTGAAAATAATCCATAATGTTCAATGAGGTATGTAAATCACATTCAGTGCTCTATGTAGCACAGTTCATTTCAAGGAAACTCGCTGATGAGTTACCATGGCGATATCCTACACTGAACAATATGCTAAAATACAAGCATGCCTGGTGATCAGTTGTGTGGAAAAACCAGGTATTAGCCAGGATTTTGAAATATGAAGCCCATATTCATTTTCTTACTAATGAAGATGCCCGAGCTCCATATTCTATAATGTGAAAACAAAAAGATGGTTTTTCAAAACTGACATTACAAGAACTCTGACAGACAGCTGGACGATTGTCTGCGTAAAGCCTTTGTGGAAAATCTATAAAGAGTACATCTATCTTTATTAGTCTCACAACAGCATCTTTTCCCTGTGCATAATTTTTGCTCAGTGAGACACATTAAAACATTACATTACAGAACATAACCATTACTTGTTCATTTGCCAATCATGTAACTGAGGAAAATGGGCTATATGGTCCAAGTTTTGTGTGTGTGTGTGTGTGTGTGTGTGTGTGTGTGTGTGCGTGCATGGGTGTGTGTGTGTGTGTGAGAGATTTTAGGCTTGGGTTGGCTGTGTTCAGAAGCACACTGGGAGATGTACAGCTCATGTACTGATGTGGAGAAGTGGAGAAAAACCAGTTGTTTGTATGTCATGAAAAATTCATTTTAACACATGTTACAGTATCTACATACTAAAAGTTCTTTTCTTTGATGAGACAATTTAAAGAGTTAGCACTGACCAAATTCTAACTCGCCTTTTCCCACAGGATTGCAAATCACTTCTGGACACCTGGG